AAAAAAAGAACCCCTTAACTAACTAACCTCAGATCACATCACCTTCAAACTCCTTTTAGGGTGAGATAATAGTTTATTCATTCTGTAAGCTTTTTTTTTTCCCCCAAGCCAATCCTGTGGCTTGAACTCAGAGCCTGGACACTATCCCTGAGCCTCTCTGTGCTCAAGTCTAGCACTCTACCACTTGAGCCACAGAGCCACTTTTGGCTTTTTCTGTTTATGTGGTACTGAGGAATCAAACCCAAGGCTTCATGCATGCTAGGCAAGCACTGTGCCAGTAAGCCACATTCCCAGCCCTCTGTAAGCTATTTTGAAATGGAAAATATGATTACTTGGCCATCTATATCCTAGCTACTCAGGAGGCTGAGATGAGAGGATCATGGTTTGAAGCCTGCTCAGGCAGGAAAGTCCATGAGACTTCTATCTCCAATTAATCACCAGAAAATAGGAAGTGGCACTGTGGTTCAAGTGGTAGAGGGCTAGCCTTGAGCAAAAAGTTGCTCAGGGATAGCACCCAGGTCCTGAGGTTCAAGCCCTAAAACTAACCAAGAAAAAACAAACAAACAAAAAAAACAAGCATGGTTACTTGGAGCTGAAAGCACACTAATCAGACATTTGCAAATCTACAGACTCATCCTGAACTGGCAGGATTTCAGAGTTCATGACTTAAAGTGAGTCCAACTGTTGTGAAGTGGGAAACTATTCCTATTAACCTCTGAATTAAAGCAAAACAATGTACAGTAACTTCTGGAGCACATGGACATTTTCATGTTAAGTGAGGTCTCACTTCAAAAACTAGAAAGGGTACTACAAAGCAATAAAAGAATGGTTTAAAAAAAAGTAGAAAGGTTTTCTGGTACTTAGCACATTTGGGAACTCAACTACTTCCAATTATGCCATAAATCAAATTCTCAGGCAGTCCTTAAAAACTGTAATGAACTTAGTCAGCCAGATGATGTCAGCACCAAAGCAAATGAGCTTCCCTGAAGCTAAAGTACCTGTACAGCTCAGAGCTGGTGACAGAGGAATGGAATCCATGCAAAAACGGCCAAACCATTTCAGATACCTTCATCTGTTGACCTTGGCACTGGACATTACTGAAAACAGCTGATCTACAGTAACATGGTTCAGCAAAGAACTTTTATTAAAGGTCATATATTTGTATTCAATTCTCATTAAATTTAGTACTGTTTGGGTTTTCACAGCTGCTGGAATGAGTGTATTAGGTGGCAGGGACACTTGATAATATTAAAAATTAGACTATAAGTTGGCTTGCATTTGCATAGATTACTACATGCTCAAGAATCATAATTTCTGTTTGGCTTTCATTCAACCATGTATCTCTCCCACTCTCCCATTGATGATGACTGAAGAACTTAAATTACCCCACAACACATACAGCTTTCACCATAGGAGAGGGCCAGCATCTCAATGAGAAAGATAACAAGGCAAATGTTTAGCAAGAGGGTCTCACAGGACAGCTGTGCCCAACAACTGCTCTTTTAAAATACTATTTTCACAGGGTTCTCAGTTTCATTCTATTGGTGGCTTCTGGAATGGCAGAAGGAGTAAAGAGTAGACAACTTAAGAGGGAGGAGGAGAAAAGTCAGAAATCCACAAAGATTTGGGGAATTCTTTACACTGGAACATCAAAACAGAAAGTGCTTTACAAAGTACCAGAAAGATGCTGCACAACATCCTCTGGGAAGTTCAAGCCAAGACTATAATGAGATTCCACTGCTCACCACTACAACGGCCACACCAAAAAGACAGATATTACAAAGTCTTGCTGAAGATGTGGGGAAGTTGAAGCCTTTGTATACTGCTGCCACAGTCATAAAATAATCGCTTAAAATCACTAAACTCTTAAACATGGTTACCATATGACCAACCATCCCACTCCTTTCTGTCTACCCCTTCAAGAAAAGTGAAAACCTATATCTACATGAGCCTAATATGGTGGTACATGACTGCAGTCCAGCACTTGGGTGGCTGAGGAGAAAGATTACTTCAGCCTAGTTTAAAACCAACAAGTAAATGTAGTACAACCTTGTCTCAAAAATAAGCAAAAAATGTTGCAGCATTATTTGTAATAGGCAAAAAAAAAGAACAAACGAAATGTTGTCTATCTACACATGGACAACCATTATGATGGATGATACAACAGTAGTAAGGAATAATGTTGATCCATGCTAAGATATGACCCATCAAAATAGTATGCTAAGTTAAAGCAGCCAGTCATAAAAGGCCAAATACTGTATAATTCTGTTTATATGAAGTGCCCAGAATAGGCAAATCTGAGGAAAGACTAAAGGATATAAAGGTTTATTTTGGGAAGTGATGATGTTCTGAAATTAAGTTATAGTGATGGTCTCACAGCTTTGTGAATATACTATAAACTACTAAGGTGACTAGGTAAACTGTGGTATGTTAGTAATATCTCAATAAGGTACTTAAGAAGGAAAAGAAAAACAAGTAAGAAAGAAGATGATTACAGTGATGAAAGACAGGAAAGAAATGTACAGAGAAATGAAGGCGGAGTGGAAGAAACTAGTCCTGGCTGAAAAACCAGATGATGGAGCAATTCACATGACTGGTGACAGTGATGCACAAGAGCAACTTACCAATCCAGATGTCGGGCTGCATTCCATAGCATGACAGCCGCCCCCTCCCCACAAGAGCAGCTCACCAATCCAGATACAGGGCTACATCCATGACACGCCCCCCCCCTCCAGCACACATCCTACTCAATGGCTTCTTGACATGGCCCAGCTGTGCCCCAACTCAATCACTACTTCCACTGAGTCACACGAAGACTGGCACCTCACAAGGTCAGAAATAACACACTATTAACAGAAGGAAGCAGTTGCTACAGGAACCAAAGCAGACTTCTAGCAGACACCTAGCTACCCTTGCCAGTTGTCCCCTTCAAAGTTGTCCACTTCAAAAACCACCACAAGGGCACAAATTCAGGACCATTCCAAACATGACTAACCAGGAATCTCACTTCTAGAATTTTATGATTAGCTGAAAGCCTTACATTTTAAGCAACAAAGAAATTACCACATTAGGCAGTTATTTTTGCTTTCTTGTGGTGCTAGGGATTAAATAAAGGGTCTTGCACATGGTAGGCAAGTGCTCTACCAACAGACCGCATCTTCATTCTTACGCATAGTTACAAGGAATAAATATCCCTGCCACAGTAGTTTTCGACATACCTTGGCTCATGCCAGAACTTTAGGTTTATAGGTAGGACATAAAAGTAACATGAAGATGCAGTTTTCATATGAAAACCAAAGAAAACGAATTCCCACAAATCAGTAAGAAAAGAGGCTGACCGGGCACCAGTGACTCATGCCTGTAATCCTAGCTACTCAGGAGGCTGAGATCTGAGGATCACAGTTCGACGCCAGCCTAGGCAAGAAAGTCTGAGAATCCAATTAACCACCAGAAAACTGGAAGTAGCACTGTGGCTCAAAGTGGTAGAGTGCTTGCCTTGAGCAAAAGAGCTCAGGGACAGTGCCCAAGCCCCCAGTTCAAGCCCCAGGAGGTACAAAAATGACATTCTTGTTGTCTTTGGGTGGGAGAAGTACTTGGTCAAGGGACAAAGATGTAATTAGAAAAGGCAAAGGGCAGCAGAGGGACAAGCACACTGCACATCCCATCTTCACACAGGGGCAGTGAGGCTGCATACAGGGCCTCTGGCAGGGCCTTCAACGAAGAGGTGTTGAGAGGAGGTTGGGGACAGCCTAGGAGGCAGGGTCAGGAAAACCAGCAAAGGGAGGGTGAAAGGGCACCCTCAGGTGGTTAGGGGGTCGAAGCAGAGCAACCGTTTTTTGTAAGGAATGGAAATAAGTGGGTATCTGCACCACCATCCATATCCTTGGGCTGGGGCAGAAGTGTCCAGTGTGCAACTGTGAGAGAGAGCTGAGCTATGGGAAAGGGGTGGAGCAGGTGTGGTTCCAGGGACAGGTACACAGAAATCTGGGTCAAATAGGGGAGAGGTGAGAGGACATGACACAAAACTGAGTTAGATTTCCCAGTACGTGGGTATCTGAGGTGGAAGCCCTGTGGCCTTGTACATAAAAGTTAACACTGAGAGAGAGGTCTCTTGGGAGGTAGCAGTAAGGTAGATGGATTATGGGGAGGGAGATCAGGATGGGAGGCCAGGATGGAATGGGAAGTGGCTGGAACACAAGGCAGGAGACTGAAGAAGGTGGTACTCCTGGGCACCCCAGGGTAAGCAAGGTCCTAACAGCAGTTTGCAGGAAACCAGGGACTGAGGAAATCAGCTATGGGCTGGGGGGGGGGGCGGCGGGGAGGGGAATCTTAGCCAACGGAGTGTCTTCTTCAGGTACTCCCACTTCCCGAGGGGTTGATAGGCTCTTCCAACTCCGTAACAGCAGGGAGAAAGGTTCTAGGGTCTGAGGATAGGAGGCATATGTCTCAAATCTGGGAGGATATGACATGAGCCATCCCGAGGAGGGCACGGAGTCTGAAGAAACCAGTGGAGAATTCGGGGTCGGAGAAGGGCTGGCGGGAAGGCTTGGCTGGTCGTAGGGTCTTGGGAAGGAAGGATCCAGGCCAGCAGAAGGGCAGTCATGGAAGGGAAGGGGGGCTTCCGGATCCCAGGAGAGCCGGTCAAGGGCTTCAACTCTAGGACAAGGTTCGGGGGTCTACCGGGGGTTCAGTCATCACAGACTCTGGGATCTGAAGGGAGGTATGGGCTGGGGCTCGAGAGTGCGAGGCACCAGCTGGACAGGTCCGGGTGGGAGGCGCCGGGTGCAGGAGGCCCAGGAGGCGAGGGCCTGGTCCGCGGCTGCGGGCTCGAGGAGCCCAGGGAGGGCGACACCCGTGAGCGCCGCGAGGAGGCCCTCGGGCCCCGGGCCGCCCGGCCCGGCCCGGCCCGGCGCTCACCTGCAGCACCACCTCTACGTCGTATGAGTTCCCCTTGCTTTTCTGGTGGCCGCGGAACTTGGAGCCGCTGTAGAGCAAGCTGGTGGCCACGCCGGGCTGCTGGGTGTTGATAGGCGGTGGCGGGATGAGAGAGGCCGCAGAGGCAGCCGAGGCACCGGCCGGCGGGGGACACTCGGTGCGGACCGGCATCGCGGGGTCCCCCGGAGCCAGGGCTGGGGGGAGGGGGAGAGGAACCGCCGCCGCCGCCGCGCGGGAGCAGAGGAGGGTGGGGAGGGAGGGGCCGGGCGCGCACGCGCCGGTGGGGGTGGGGACCACCCGCCCGCTGCCTGCGCACCGAGCGCTCGGGCCGCCACCGGGACCCCAGGACCTGCAAGCAGGGCCTCCCTGTCCTGAGCTGGGTCCCCCTTCCCACTTGCCCTCGCACACACACCGCCCCTTCCGATTGGCTCGGGCGCGCCCGGGGGGCGGGAACCAGTTCACGCGGCGCTTCCGCCCATTGGCGAGTGGGGAGAACATGTGGCGGAGCTCGCGAGCGGCCCTCTGGGACTTGTAGTCTTTTTTCCTGGAAGCGCGGCGTGGAGAGGGCGGGGCGAGCTCGTTTGTGATGCTGATTGACTAGGGGAGGGCGCCCGAGGCGCGCCGAGGCGACGGCGTGCGGTAGGTGTCATGCGAACATGGCGGCGTCCAGAGGAACCTGATGGCTCTGGGGAGGCCGTGAGAGGTTTCCGTACAGCCCGAGCGTGTGGCTAAGGGATCCCCTTGCTCTACTTCCGGCTTTCAGGTTTCGCGCCGCGAGTCTTCCCAACCCCTCTGGCAGCATGTGGAGGAGCTGGCTCCGGCTGCGGGAGCCAGGGCTCCGACTCCTGAACCGGCCTGCAGGTGACCCTGCCGCCTCCGTGAGGCCGAGGTCAGCCCCTCAGCCTCCAGCCCGGGCCTATGTCCCGCCGACAGGTGAGGCCAGGACACGTTACCTTTTGGCCCAGGTCCCGGCCAGCTAAGTTGGTGGAGGGTTTCTTGCGTGCCAAGGGTGGGGGGGGGCGGGTGACCCAGTCGAAGAGACCCACGAGGTTGTTCAGACCAATCCAGCCCTGTTATAGATGATATAAAGGGAAGCCCAGACTAGGGCCGGGAAGACCAGAGTGGGGCGTAGCACTGTCAGGGCATAAGACAGTGATTGACATTTGGCCTGTAAGGCTTTTCTCAAAGTTAATAGGTTTCTTTAAATAGGGAGGCCGATGTCTTGATATTTCCAGACTGGGCAATTTAGACTCAGGATCAAAACTTCCAAGGTCACAGAGCAGATGGTGACCTTTGTGCAGGGCAAAAGCTGGTCCCAGCACCTAGCACAAAACCTGGCACAGAGGGGATAGACTCAGTTTGCAATCCCACATCTGCCTGTTTCCAGGCCCTCTGTCCCAGTGCTCTACTACAATCTTAACCTTCTCTAGAACTTTCTAGGGGAGAAGTCTCCTCTATCCTCTGACCATGATGAAGCCTAGAAGTTGGTGGCTCTTTCACTGCTGCTGGAGAGAGATTTTCGGGTGAGAGCCAGGGTGATTCCAGTGAATCAAAAGCAGTGACACTCCATTCAAATTTTCTCTGCTGGGAGCAAGAAGCACAGTGGTCATCAAAATGGATTGTTTCACCCGGGTGATGTGACGTGCAGGTTATTTTATCCCGAGTAAACAGGGTAGCTTATAATACACTTGTGTTAAAGCAACTATGGAGACGGCTGTAAGTGGGTATTCAGTGACGAGGGTTTTGGATAAAAGGGCATTGATGATGGTAGGGCTTAAAAGATGGAATAAGAGTCCAATAATGAGGAAGAGGATTGTCCAGAAGTGACAACAAGGTATGGATCCTTGCAGCATTGCCCACTTTAAGAAATTCAGAACTCTGCCGGGCGCTGGTGGCTCACGCCTGTAATCCTAGCTACTCAGGAGGCTGAGATCTGAGGATCGCGGTTCAAAGCCAGCCCGAGCTGGAGAGACCGTGAGACTCCTATCTCCAATAAACCACCAGAAAACCGGCAGTGGTGCTGTAGCTCAAGTGGTAGAGCACTCACCTTGAGCTGAAGAGCTGAGGGACAGTGCCCAGGCCCAGAGTTCAAGCCCCACGGCCAACAAAAAAAAAAAAAGAAATTCAGAACTCTAGAGGTACTGTGATCTTAGGCATGTATTATATCTTCATTCTTTAGTGAGTTGAAGCACTAGGTTACCCATGAGGATCCTTTTGGCTACAAAGATCCATAATTTTACATAAATGGAGATTTCACGTTTGGGGACCTAAATGAAGGTCCCCAGGTAATGCAAAGTCAGTAAAGAGAAAGAAGGAATCCTGGTATGGTGCACTCCTGTAATCACAGCTACCCAAGAGGGAGGATCAGTTGAGCCAAGGAGTTTGAGGCCAGGATGGACTAGTAAGACTTCATTTCAAGCAAAACAGACAGGAAAAAAAAAAAAAAAGACTAAGCAAGGGCATCTCAGAAATGAAAAGGACACTCTTAGGAGTTCACTAAGTTGGCAAAAGCACTGGGTTCATTTAGGTGATAGATGCTGCTTGCTTTCCATTGTGGCACTTGATCTACCATCTTTTTTCCTTTGCACTGCAGATCTACGGGTTTATAGTTTAGGCCAGTAGGAGTACCTAGCAATTGGTAAGTAGTCAAAGATGATGAGAATTAGGAATGCATGAAAGCATCAGGTCTGTGTGCCACAAAAACCATACCAGTCAGGAGATCTTTGTGCATTTTTGGAGTGGTGGAGGATTAAACCCAAGTGAGTCCTTCTCGATGAAGACTTCAGTTGCAAGTGGATTGAACTTAGTTTAAGAAAATCTAAACATCTAAAGTCATCAAAAAGAGAGAAATGGTTTAGGGAGGGTTCACTGAGGTATGGAAAAGGAGATGATGCAGCAAAGAGAACTGGGTAAAGCTATTATGGCCTGGCAGTTTTGTACCTTTCTGTCTGAGATCTGTCAAATGGTTGGAGGGGGTAGATGTTCTGAACAAGCAGTGTGTCTGGTTGAAGGCACATACCCAAGAAGTCGAGGCTGGAAGCTTTTTTTTTTTGTTTTTTGTTTTTTAGTTGGTAGTAGAGCTTGAACTCTGGGTTTGGGCTCTGTCCCCACGCTCTTCAACTCAAGGCTAGCACTCTACCACTTGAGCCACAGCGCCACTTCTGGTTTTCTAGTGGTTTATTGGAGATAAGAGTCTCACTGACTTTCCTGCCCAGACTGGCTTTGAACCACAGTCCTCAGATATCAGCCTCCTGAGTAGCTAGGATTACAGCCGTGAGCCACCTGAGCCCGGCAAGGTTAGAAGTCTCTTCTCTACTGTTTACAAATTGCCAACTGGACAAGATAGTATCTAGGGTCTTTACCACATGAGAGACATTATGCACTCTGCTGTAATGTGGTTTGGATTGAGGAAGTTTATATAGTCTTCACATCAGACATGTTTTTGTCAATAAAATTTTATTGGAACACAGCAACCTTTATTAATTTACATATTATATGGCTGCCTTCACTATAATATCAGGATTGAATAGTTGCAATGGAGACCATATGGCCTACACAGCCCAGAATATTGTCTGGTTCTGCAGAAAAAAGTTTAACAACTCCCAGTCTAGATGAAGAGTAATTTGGAAAATAGTGCATTTATACATTTGGAAAATGTAAATATTTGGAAGAATTACAGTCATTCATTTAGTGTAAATTCAGTAGTTTTTAGTGTATTCACTGAGTTGTACAACCATTACAATTTTAGAATATTTTTATCATGCAAAAAAAAATGTATACTCTGCCTTATCCCTTCCATTCCTCCAACCTTAGACAACCACTACTTTTCTTCCTTTATAGATTTCTCTGTTTCATAAATAGAATTTAGATTTTCTTTTTTTTTTGGTAGGTCATGGGGCTTGAACTCTGGGCCTGGGCTCTGTCCCTAAGCTCATTAGCTAAGGCAAGCACTCTTCCACTTGAACCACAGTACCACTTCTGGTTTTCTGGTGGTTAATTGGAGATAAGAATCTCATGGACTTTCCTGCCCGAGCTAGCTTTGAACTGTGATCCTCAGATCTCAGCCTCACCTCTTGAGGAGCTACGATTACCGGCATGAGCCGCCAGTGACTGGACTTTTTTGGATTTTCCATTTTTTTTCCCGGTCCTGGGGCTTGAACTCAGAGCCTAGGCACTATCCCTGAGTCTCTTTGTGCTTAAGGCTAGTGCTCTAGGACTTGAGACACAGTGCCACTTCTGGTTTCTGGTGGTTAATTGGAGATAAAGAGTCTGACAGACTTTCCTACGTAGGTTGGCTTCAAACTTCGATCCTTAAATCTTAGCCTCCTGAGCTACCAATGTCTGGCTCAAACAGTGTTTTTGAGGTTTTCCATGTTGTATCATATATCACTGTTCCATTCTTTCCTTATTGTTGAGTAATAAATACTCTGTTATATACATATACAGCTCTTCTTGTCTATTCATCCATTGGTGGACACATGAGTGGTTTCTACCCTTTTTTATTATGTATAATACACCTATAATTATAAGTTTTGTGAGGGTTTTTGTATTTTTGTTTCTCTTTAATATATACCTTTAACTTTTAGACTCTTTTCCAAGGAATCTGTATCATTTTGCATTTCTTCTAGTAGGAATTTCTCCATATGTTTGCCAACACTTGCTAATGTCTATAGTCTTTTTAGTAGAAATCCTAAGGGGTGTGAAGAGATAATCTCATGGGCGTTCTTTTGCTTGTTTGTTTGACAAGATCTCACTGTGTAGTCCAGGCTGACCTAGAACTCCCAATCCTCCTGCCTCAGCCTCCTGAGTGTTGAGATTACAGGTTTGATCCTCCATACCTGGCTTATTGTGGTTTTGATTTGCATATGGTCAAGCATATTTTCATGTGCTTATTGTCCATGCATACATGAGCATATTTTCTCCCCACCACTCCCTGTCCCCTAGACCTGAGTTCCCCCAGTTCAAACTCAGGGCCTGGGTGCCATTCTTGAGTTTTTCTTGCTCAAGGCAAGTGTTCTATCAGTTGAGCCACAGCTCTGTTTCCAATTTTTTGGTGATTAATTGGACTGGCTGCCTTTGAACAGTGATTCTTAGATCTCAGCCTACTGATAGCTAGGATTACAGATGTGAGCCACTGGGGCAGCTGTACTGATTTTTTTTATTTTTTATTTTTATTTTTTGTTGGTTGTGGGACTTGAACTCAGGGGCTGGGTGCTGAGGTCTGAGCCTCTTGATGCTCAAGGCTAGTGCTTTACCACTTGATCTACAATGCCACTTCCAGTTTTTGAATGGTTAATTGGAGATTAGAGTCTCACGGGGACTTTTCTGCCCGGGGCCAGTTTCAAACTGCAATCCTCAGATCTCAGCCTCCTGAATAGCTATGATTACAAGTATGAGCCACCTTCACCTAGCTTGTACTCAATTTTTTTTTTGTTGTTGTTGGTTTTCCCAGTCCTGGGGTTTGAACTCAGGGCCTGAGCACTGTCCCTGAGCTTCTTTTTGCTCAAGGCTAGCACTCTACCACTTGAGCCACAGAGCCACTTCTGGACTTTTCTGTTTATGTGGTACTGAGGACTCAAACCCAGGGCTTCATGTATGCTAGGCAAGCACTCTACCACTAAGCCACATTACCAGCCCTGTACTGAAATTTTTTGATACCTGAAAACCATTGGTTGGAATGGCCCTAAGATTAGAGATAGTGCGCTGCCCTATTAGGATTTCAGCTTTAAGGTTCTAGGCCCTCCAGGTGGCACTGTTTTAAAAGATAAAGGTATAGAGTCAATTCCGAGAGGAGTACTTCCTCTTGGTATACCGTGGGAGTTGTAGTTCCTGAGGCATCGAGTCTTTCTGAAGTGAAGGTCAATTTGGAAATTTTCCCTGGTTAAAAGATCTCTTACCAAATGGGGCAAAGTGAAGGAAGGGCTGCCATTGTGCAAGAAGCATTGTACTTACTCCTTGACTTATGGAATTGTAACCTCTTTATATAACTCCTTAATAATAACAATTAAAAAAAAAGATCTCTCACCAATCCATATAGACTGGGACTAGAGGACTGTAGAGGAAGTAATATAGAATAAAATGATTTATTTGTTTATAGGAATTGAAGCAGCTACATGGGAAAAAGAGAGCCAGAGGGCATTAATTTCCTATTCATCACTCTTTACATGGCAGGTTTTTTAAGTCGTTCTCTGCTTACATAATCTGTTTTCTTCTAGCCAACTCTGTAAATTAACACTCTTTCACATATCCTTTTTTTTTTTTTTGCATCTGCATGGTCCACAGAACTCTCTAAAAAAAAACACTGTATTTTTGCCACAGATGTTCTGAAAGGCAGTGATTCATACTCAAAATAGTCCCCAGTTCTACGGATCCTCCAAAGAGTAGCAGTTTCTTTCTCTTTTAAAGATGGTGTTCCTGTTAGTGTTAGCAAACCCTACATTTGCTGAGACTATGAGAGTTTCATGATTTGTCTTATGTAACCCAGATCCGTGAGGGCCCAGGTGAAGAACTACTGACTTTGTGACATTGTTGGGATTCAGGGGTTCCACCTAATGAGTTGTCCAGATCACATTCTTATTTGTCTATGTGAACCCTTTACTCCCATTGTTCCCTTTACTGTGACTTACCTGTGTACCAGACTCTGCAACTTTGTGCCTAATGGCCTCTCTGGGCATCTCTAGCCTTTCTCTGCTCCAGTCTCATTCTGGATATCTTTCCAGTCCTCGAAAATTTATGCTTTCTGAAAACTGGAGCTTCATGCAAGTAATTTCTACTCTGGAAACTACTTCCTCACACCTCCAAAATCAAGTCAGTCTTTGAGGGCTGAACATTCAAAGTTCTTTTTTGTTGTTGTTGTTTTTGTTTTGTTTTGTTTTTGTGCCAGTTCTGGGACTTGAGCTTAGGGCCTGGATGCTGTCCCTTATTTTTTACTCATAGCACTCTACCACCTGAGCCACAGCTCTCCTTCTGGCTTTTTTTCTTTTCTTTTTTTCTTTCTTTTTTTGGTGATTAATTGGAGTTAAAAGTCTTATGGCCCAGCGCTGGTGGCTCATGCTTGTAATCCTAGCTACTCAAGAGGCTGAGATTTGAGGTTTGCGGTTCAAAGCCAGCTCGGACAGGAAAGTCCCCATGAGACTCTTCAATAAACCACCAGAAAATGGAAGTGGCACTATGGCTCGAGTGGTAGAGTGCTAATCTTGAGCTGAAATGCTCAAGGACAATGCCCATGCCCAGAGTTCAAGCCCCACGACCAACCAAAAAAAAAAGAGTCTTAAGAACTTTCCCGGGCTGGGAAGGTGGCTCAGTGGTAGAGCGCTTGCCTTGCATGCATGAGGTGGGTTCGATTCCTCAGCACCACATAAGCAAAAAGAAAAAAGCTGGAAGTGGCGCTGTGGCTCAAGTGGTAGAGCACTAGCCTTGAGCTGAAGAGCTGAGGGACAGCGCCCAGGCCCAGAGTTCAGGCCCCATGACAGGACTCAAAAAAACAAAACAAAACAAAAAAAAAAACAAAGAACTTTCCTGCCCAGACTGACTTTGAACCATGATCCTCAGATTTCAGCCTTCTGAGTAGCTAGGATTACAGGTGTGAACCACAAGCACCCAGATCTCAGAGGTCTTCCTGCAGTCCACAAGAAGATCCCCAGTGTTGAATTAGAGTGCTGTTTCACCCAACTCCTGCCTGCCTAGCACAGAAAACAACAAATGTAGCCTAGATACCTCCATCCAGTCATGAGACAGAAAGGAAGCCTCTGACCCTTACCTGATTGCTGCTTAAATATAAAAGGGCCTGGATGCTAGTGCCTCGTGCCTATAATCCTAGCTATTCAGGAGGCTGAGATCTGAGAATCAAAGCCATCCCAGACAGGAATGTCTAAGAGCCACTTATCTCTAATTAATCACCAGAAAACTGGAAGTAGATCTGGTGCAAAGTGGTAGAGAGTTAGCCTTAAGCAGAAAAGCTCAGAGACAGCACCTAGGCCTGAGTTCAAGCCCCAGGACTGACAAAGTAGTAATAATAATGATAAAAATAGTTGGGGCTGGAAATGTGGCTTAGTGGTAGAGTGCTTGCCTAGCATGCATGAAGCCCTGGGTTCAATTCCTCAGTACCACTTAATCAGAAAAAGCTGGAAGTAGCACTATGGCTCAAGTGGTAGAGTGTTAGCCTTGAGCACAGAGAGGCTCAAAGACAGTGTACAGGCCCTGAGTTCAAGCTCCAGGACCAGTTTTTTTTTTTTTTTTAATAGTTGGAGGTAAAACAGGAACATTGAAAGCTCTAGTGTGGTTGAAATCTATTTTGGTGTCAAATCTATTTTGGTGACAGAATTGATGTTACAATTTCCCATGAAGGTGGTGAATTGTGCCACATTATCTCAGGCCAGATCTGGTCAGTTTAAAAAAAAAAGCTTATTTTTGTTTTTGTTGTTTTTATTGTTGTTTTGTTATCTCTTTTACTCACTGTTGTATCTTAAGTGCCTAGAATAGTGCAGAGCACATAGTAGGCATACAAATAGTTCTTTGGGAAAACAATTTGGACTTTAGTTTAAAAAAAATGCAGTATGGGGAATACAATTATGGGTCCCTTACCTTTAAGCATTAATGATATCAAGTAAGGTTTATGCAAGTTAGTGATATGATATATAAAACATGAAAATATGTTTAGAGCAGAACCTGATGTCTCCTTTCCTCTCATGCCTGACACACATCAATTTCTCCCAAATTTTTCTTCTTCTTTTTAAGCCCCCAGTAGAGAATTGAACCCAGGGATTTGCGTTTGCCAGGCAAGCACTCTACCTCTTGAGCTAAGCCCCCAGCCCATTTTCCCCCTTCTTGAAGGAAATGTTTGGAGTTCCTGTTGAATACACAAGCAAGATGGTTAATTAGGTTAATTAATTGGAGAGAGAGGATGGGAAATACTCCTGGGAGAGCTTTATTTTCTGCCTGCACATCATGTACTCGCATGTGTGCGCGAATACACACACACACACACACACACACACACACACACACACAGGGAGAGCTTTATTTTCTGCCTGCACATTATGTGCTCGCATATGTGTGTGAATAAACACACACACACACACACAGAGGTTTCCCATTTGGCCCTTCTCAGAGCTAGCTCTACTCTATTCAGACACCTAATTTAGATTTGGTATGTTGTGCTGACTTGGGGAAGGGAGGCAGACATGCTTAGATGCTAAAGCAGGTAGTGGGAAATCCTCAAGTCACAGTCTGCTCCTGACCAGACTTGCCCCTTGTTCCAGAACTGTCAGTCCTTTTCCTTCCTAGTCCCTGGAGAGCAGATGTTCCCTTCCCCCAGCTTTAATCAGAGGCTGTTGATTACACTGTAGACTAGGGCAGACCTTGAATGGTGATGTGAAAATCAAGCCAATCAATCAGCATTAGCAGTAATGATGCAAGCTGGTCTTGTCGCCTCCTGAGCCTCTCTACGCTTCTTTAAACTACCTCTCTAAAAAATCTGTCTTACAGAAAGGAAGAGATTTTATCAGAATGTCAGCATCACACAGGGTGAAGGTGAGTATCTGAAATTTTTGACTGCCTCTTTTTTTTTTTTTTGTGAATGGTTGGGCACATGTTTCATCTGCAGCTGGTTCAGTGGTGGGATTATCCTTGGCACTTTTGTGTCAGATATTGTCAGATATTGTCTCTGTGTGCACCAATTCAAGGGGCTAAATATAGGAATGGTCACTTGATTGCACTTCACAGTCTCTGAGAGTTTTTTATTTGATCTTTCAAGGTGGCTTTGAGATAAACCTGGACCACAGGAAGCTGAAAACTCCCCAAGCCAAGCTCTTTACAGTCCCCAGTGAGGCCCTAGCCATTGCAGTGGCCACTGAATGGGACTCCCAGCAGGACACAATCAAGTTCTATACCATGCACCTGGTAACAAGTTCTCTGTGCAAATTTACACCCTGGCAAAAAATTTTACACTCTTTACTAAATGGTGGGAAGGAAGGCATGGTGTGTGTGTGTGTGTGTGTGTGTGTGTGTGTGTACGCGTGGGGGAGGGGAGAAGAGATGAATATGGTTCACCAACTCTCTAGGCATTGAACAAGCCATGCTCTTTCCCTGTCTGGCTAGAGCTCTTTCCCCTGCAGGTTCCTCTGCTAGGGACACTGTCCTGCATAACTGGTTCCTGCTCTGGTCTCAGGACAGATGTCACCTTTGCTGACTGCTTGGCTTTCTTAGTTTTGATGATAGCAGTTGGTCATTTGTTCTGTCAGCACTTAGACAATCTGTAATGGGCTGTTTTATGATTGCACATTTATTATCTGCCTCTTCTGCCTGGTGAGCGACAGAAGGGCAGGGGCTATGTCTGTTACTCAGCAGACCCAGCAGGAAGTTTAGATGGCACTCAGTAAATTTTGATTGGATGCAGGAACCAAGGTGCCCCACAGAGCCCTCCTTCCCTTGTCCCCTACACAAAGGTGACTCTCTGAGGCACTAGGACAGGAAGGGGGAGGGCAGGAAGCAAGCATACATTGAGTCTAGCCTCTGCAGCCTCCACATTGTGACCTTGGGCAAGTTGCTGCCCCTTTCTCAGCCCCATGCCCCCCATCTTGTGAAAAATGAGTGGTAACATAGCTGCCTTATGGAGCTGTGGTCAGGATTCAATGAGGTGACACATGGAAAGCCCTCAGCATGGTTCCCTGCTCAGCATGGTGCTCAGTTGGCACTGAGCTCTCAACTCTCAAGCTGGTCATTGCTGTGTTCACCCTTGACACAGAAACCCAGGTGGGCCTTCTCACAACAGCACAGATGCTGAAGTGCCACCTGCTCCTTGATTAGCTGATGAAATTAGGGTGATCAGGGCCACAAGGTAAGTCTGGAAAATTATCTTGATCTCAGTGTGGCTCATTTTCCTGCTTTCTAAGGTGGTAAGAGAACCAGCTGCTAAAACACTTTAGTCAGATTTCAGTTCCCTGACTGTTACTTATTCTATCTGAGGGTGTATTTCGCCTTTCTGGGCCTCAGTTTCCACATTTCTGAAATGGGAGCAAAAATGGAGTTTATTCCAAAGCACTGTTGTGAGGATTAAATTAAACACAGCAGAACATGGTGATAATGAGCATGAAAAGCAGTAGAAATAAATAGCCTGTCACATGAGTACACTAGAGCTGTGAGCATAGTACCTGCTATCATGCATACCCCATAGGTGCATGTGTGCCCCATACCAGTGTGTCTTCATAGGTGTGCTATAGCTGTGAGGACATCTGAGTCCAGAGTCCTATGGTGCCTGTCCTCTCCTTGCCCTATTGTTTTACTTTGCGTCAGTTGCAGTATCCTCTGGAAAGCAGGGCTTTTGCCTGAACCCCACAGGTAGTGACAGGGCCCTTTCTGCCTTTTCATTCAGACCACATTGTGCAACACATCCTTGGACAACCCAACCCAACGAAACAAGGATCAGCTGATCCGGGCAGCTGTAAAGTTTCTGGACACTGACACCATCTGGTAATTGGCACTTGGAGAAGTAATCCTCCTAGGTTGAGTGAACCCCTTGGGCTATTTTGCCTCATTTGCCCAGAAAGTTGCCAGTGGAAGAAGCCAGAGAGAAGGAAAGCAGCCTGCTTGACATTGGCATGTAGCCACTCTGCCGATCCCAGAAGAGCACTGCCAGAGCACATGGTGTTCCATGGTCTGGGGGTGGGGGGCATAGTCACTCACAGATAGCTCTTGTAGGCTTCAGGACCACAGGGCTCATTTGCCAACCCCAGCAGGGTGTTTGACCGTGACTGCCACTGTCACATTCTCACATGTGCACATTGGCAGTCCTGTCATTACAGATAACAATAGAGACTGGCCTCCAGGTCTGAATTCTTTCCTCATTTCTATATTCTTTGACTAACAGCTAATTAGACAGTGATATGAAAGGAACAACTCTTGTTGTTGGGTGTCTGCTGGCCCTAGTGCTCAAGAGTGCTCAGGGATGACACAGTATATCAGCCAGATGCTCTGGAAGGGAGTGGCCCATGGGTCAATTAGAGATTGGTGGTGGGATCAGTTGCTGGAAGGAAGGTCAGGCAGAAAGGGTTTAAAACACACACACACACACACACGCACATGCATGCACGCACACACCCCTCTACAGGGGTCCTGATAAGAAATGAAGACCAGACCCCTGGGGAAGGGAGCTAAAAGATGGGATGCCAGAGCTTCTACCTTTCCCTGTGGGTTGAGATAGGAGGAGGAAAGCCTGTCCAATTTACTTTTCCCACACATTCTAATGAGTGGAAGGAAGCTCAGCTTTTCTACACATGCATATCCTCTGTTCCCCACATGAGACTGGCTTTCTATAGTGCCCCTGGGATTCCCATCCTTAAAGCTTTGCAGCTTGGCTCCCTTTAAATGTCTTGACTGTCTCTTGGTCAAAACAAGTGGCATAGCTTAGCGTCTCTGGTTGTCCCCTCAGGTATGGTGTCTAAGCCAAGAGATGGCTAGAGATGTCAATAGGTACTTGTCTGTGGCTAGAAACATGGTGTCTTGGGAGGGGCCAGGGCAGGAATACCATTAGAATTACTGGCATATCTCTCTGGGCATGGGTTTTGGGGTGTGGTATGGTTGTTAAATTGGATCTGTCTTAGAGTGGTACTATAGTAATGGTGCTGCAAGCGTTTAGGGAGAGGTTCACAAGCTCAAGCTCATACTAGAATCTCCTGGAGAATTGTTAGAACAGGCTCCATCCCCAGAGGTTCTAATTTCCTTAGGTGTGGGATTTGGCCTGGATGTCTCAGACCTCAAGGCCACACTTTGAGAACCACTGCTTTAGGGACAAGACTTGGGGCACTTGGTTGGTGATGGGAAGGTTTTGCTTGTTACCCTTTTGTTTTCCTTTTCTGTCCCTGAATGAATTGTACTTTTTTATTAATGAAGGTGATTTTTACAATGAATTAGCTACAGGGTGGAAGAGCCAGAGACATTAGTGGAACTTCAAAAGAATGAGTGGGATCCAATCATAGAGTGGGCTGAGAAAAGGTAAGATGTGTAGCCTGCAGAGAAAATGGGCTCGGAGTTGGGGAGGGTGCTGGAGTCAGAGTCACATTGGGCACCCAAAGCCCTTAGTTCATGATCACCTTGGGGAAAATGTTCCTTGAAATCATTCACATCATGCACTGAGCACCTGCTACCAGAATATACTGTACTGAGAGCATAAGGACAGTTCTGTGTTCCAAGGAGGCTCCAGGCCTCCTGCCCCTGTGGGTCAAGGCCACAGTGTTGGTTTGAATACCAGCTCTGCCATTGTTAGTTATGTGACTTTGAACTACTAAGTTGATCTCTCTGAGCTTGTTTTCCTATCTGGAAAGGGACTAATTCCTATCTCTCTGGTTGCAAGAGGTCTTCCAGTAAGCCTAGCAGCCTGCATAGCAGAGGTGACTGCTCAGATTTTGGCAGTTATTTTTTATCTTTGTTACAGTTGTCACACTGTTAAATAAAATCACCAAATAGCATGTAACATACATATGCACCTGGATAGGAGTTAGGTAGCTTTTTGCAAAACTGTGGAATGTCCTATGGATGTGTGGTTTCTAGGAATTGATAATACCTAATTGTTTAACTAATTAAAATTTTTTTTCAATCTTGGGGCTTGAACTCTGGGCTTGGACACTGTCCCTGCGCTCTTCAGCTCAAGGAGAGCACTCTACTGCTGAAGATATAGTGCCACTTCCAGTTTTCTAGTGCACATGAGTCTCACAGACTTTCCTGCCTGGGCTGGCTTTGAACGGTGATCCTCAGATCTCAGCCTCCTGCCTAGCTAGGATTATAGGTGTAAGCCACTGGTGCCCACCCAATATTTTTCTTTTACAGGAAGATAATTGTGACTATTGGTATGGTGGCAAAATAAATTTCATGCCAAGGGAAATGAGGAAGGGTTAGTTTTCATGGTACTTGTTATTTTTTTTGCTATAGTATTTTTTTCACAGAAGTGATCTCTACCAGCCTGCCCCATTCATTTGCTCCTCATTTCCTGAGTGCTAACAATGGCCCCCACATCTTGCATTCTGTTCTGGCAGTATTGGGGTTAGAATTTTGGTCCTCTTGGCTACAACTTAAACAATACCCCTAGCCACATCCTGGGATTTTTAAAGAAAACAGCAGATCCAGTACTCTACAAGATAGGAAAACTGAAACAACTGTGATATATGAAAAATAGGAAGAGACAATGATATTTTGGAATGTAATGACCTCTAATACTAACTTAGGTGCCTGGATTCAGGTTTTTCTGGCAGTTGCGATGTTCAGTCCCTAATAGTTTTTTTTTGGGTCCGGTCATGGGGCCTGAACTCTGGGCCTGGGCGCTGTCCCTCAGCTCTTCAGCTCAAGGCTAGCGCTCTACCACTTGAGCCACAGCGCCACTTCCGGCTTTTTTTCTTTTTGCTTATGTGGTGCTGGGGAATCGAACCCAGGGCCTCATGCATGCAAGGCAAGCGCTCTACCACTGAGCCACCTTCCCAGCCCCCTAATAGTTTTTGTAAAAAATCTATTTCCTACATTCACTATGTACTCTTAGAAAATTCACTAAGGAGCTGGGGAGTGGGAGTGACAAACACCTGTAATCCCAGTACTCCAAAGGCTACAGCAGGAGGATCACAAGATTGAGGCCAGCCTGGACTACACAGCAAGATCCTATAAGTACATGCAAAGTAGTTTCAGCAAGATTATTTTTTAAGTAGTAGAAGAAAAATGATACTGAGCCAGGCACCAGTGGCTCACGCCTATAATCCCAGCTACTCAGGAGGCTGAGATCTGAGGATGGATCACGGTTCAGAGCCAGCCTGGGCAGGAAAGTCCATGAGACTCTTATCTCCAGTAAACCACTAGAAAACAAAAGTGGCACTGTAGCTCAAGCAGTAGAGTGTTAGCCTTGAGCTGAAGGGCTCAGAGACAGCGCCCAAGCCCAGAGTTCAATCTTCACAACCGACCAGAAAAAAAAAAAGATGTACCCCATTATGTGTACTGCATTTCAGACAGGTATTGATTACAGGACTGAACACTGTGCCTTTATTCAGGGCAGTTTCAGCTCCTCTGGGTTTGCTTTTAGGGATTGGTTAGACAGGAGACTACTGACCAGTGGCAGCTGCTCCCAGGGTCCCCAAGGATACTCCCTTAGCTACATGCTATCTTTAGGTTTTTGCTTCTAGTCAAAAGCTGGGCTGCTATTGGAACACAGCATGCCAAAAACATGCCAAAAGTCTTTGCCTTCAGGTACGGAGTGGAGATTGGTTCTTCTACTAGCATAATGGGACCCAGCATTCCTGCCAAGACTCGGGAGATGCTCATCAACCACTTGGCATCTTATAACATGTGGGCCCTACAAGGTAAGCATTGTGCTTCCTCAGGCCTGGGGCCTGTAGATGTGATGCAGGTCAGCACATCCCCTGCTGGGGCTCTCTGAGCAGTGAGGCTGGCTGGCTGTAATGCCAACTCTTTCACTCACACTCCAGGATCAAACTTTGCAGCAGAAAATTGGCTTTTTCCTTTCAAGCAAGTCAAAGTTTGTAACTCATTGGCCTGACTTGGGTCATATACCCATTTTATGAGCCAATCATTGGGTGGGGACTTGGGAAAAGGCTCTGATTGTGGAATTCAGATAATGTTCCACCTAGGGAAGTGCAGAGACATGTCACCCAAAGAAAGCCTTCTAGGAGAGTAGACCAAGCCCCTTTTGGGCCTTTGCCCTCCTTTCCTATTCTCTGTGCAGGAACTTAAGAGGAGGTTGTTGCAGCTGCATTGTTTTTGCCTTGTTTCTGATGTGGCTTGTGTTTCTATAGGGATTGAGTTTGTAGTGGCCCAGCTCAAGTCCTTGGTGCTGACCTTAGGCCTGATTGACCTGCACCTCACAGTGGAGCAGGCTGTGCTACTGTCACGCCTGGAAGAGGAGTACCAGGTGAGATGCTGATCTTAGGTCCCTGACTCATCCCTTCCTAATTTACAGACAGGGGGACCAACCTCCCTGACATATTTTTATGCAAACCTGACCTTTATTATTCATGTACATACAGAAACAAACTAAGGAACAATAGAAGTATTATCAGGGTTGGGGTTACAGCTCAGAAGTATAGCATTTGATTAGCATGCTTGAGGCCCTAGGTTTTATCTGCCATGCTATCAGAAAAACAAGCTAAGTACTCCCCTTACCTTTGACTTCTCAATAGTCTGGCCAGGGGAAAGTGATGTATTTTCCATTTCACACAGAAGGAAACTGAGGCACAGATCACATCTCTGAAAAATGTGCCAGATCTGGGTGACTAGGAAGATCAAGGTCCCACTCTGCACTTGAGTTTTATGACCTGGTAGAACAGGCCTGCTGATGTGACAGGGGTCTGTTTATGCTGTTGAGTCCTCTAAGTGTTCATATCCTCACATGTCATTTGGCTGGCAGAGAAGCAGAGGAGTAGCTGTTGTTTGTACATAGCTTTGCTTTAGTGAGTTTGAATGAAGGTTTGCTATGCTATCAGTTGCATTTTTTAACTCTGAAAACTATGTTGTTCCTTTCAATCTTTGTGTTATAGATGTTGTGATTCCTCCAACTTCAGAAGGTTAAGTGCTATTATGAGTTGATCCCTAGTATAATTTTTTAAACAAAAAAAATAGATTCCACCTTCTTGGAATATTTATGCTGCTGCTTGGGCAAATGCTGGGGGAGGAAGGAGAAGGAAACCCAAAACTCTCTGTACAACAGAGTTGGCTAGCCATTCTCTAAACCAATTTCATGAGAAAAGGGTCACCTTATGAGGAATTTAGAGCTGGGTGGAGACACAGGAAACCTGGCTTCTGTTCTGGTCTCTGCTTTTCTTTATTTTTTTTCTTGCTCTGAGGGATTTTGTTTTGTTTGGGATAATGTGATTTGAACTTTTTTTTTTTGTCATGGGGCCTGAACTCTGGGTCTGGGCTAGCACTCTACCCCTTGAGCCACAATGCCATTTCTGGCTTTTTCTGCTTATATGGTGCTCAAGAATTGAACCTAGGGCCTCATGCTTGCAAGGGAAGCACTCTACCACTGAGCCACCTTCCCAGCCCTGGTTTGAACTTTTGACCTCAGGGTCTCCTGCTTGCTAGGCACTCTACAACTTGAGCCATACCTAGTCCTTGCAAGAGCTATGCTTCTGACCAGACTTTCATATTCTGTACTTTGGTTTTCATCCTGCATAAAGTGAGAATTAAAAAATCATAGATGAGCTGATATAAAGTGAAGGTTAAAACTCAGATGACCTATTACAGTTGTAAAGCTGGGACTGGGTCACCAGAAGGCAGTTTGTGTGGCCTGAAAGATTCTGTATTTCTGGACAAACAGGGTAGTGAGGAGCCAACTGATTGGATTGGAGTCATACTTATATCTGATAGCTACATTGTGTCTGGGCATTCCTCCTTTTCATTTGCTAGTCCTAGAGAGAGTCTGCAGGCTGCAGAGCAAGATCTCTCTAGTGCTGACACTTCCTCAGGGTCAGAACTAAATCCACATGAAGCCTGGCTTCATTTATTTATTCCACTGCGATGGGGTAACACTTACATCCCTGCATGGTGATATGGCCGAGAGAGGATGACAGTTTGCAGGCTGCCTCACACTGGATATAGTTGGGAAGAAGTGTGGGAGAAGGACTAGCACATGGGTCAGGCTCCCTCAGAGGAAACACGCTTGGTTCTGGTACCCAGTGCCTATCCAACATTAGGTAGCCACTGGTCCTGGATCTGAAGGTACTTCTGTAAACCTTCTACACCACAGAGTACAAATATCTCTCTGGCCATCTGGGTAGTTTTACATGCTACTTCCAACACATCTCATGTGTGTTGGCAATGTGGGGCCTATTTGCCCTCTAGCCTAGCAAAAGGAATGGATCGTGGTTCTGGCCAAGAGGCTGCCAGATCAGACAGTTTACCCAACAACTTTTTTCCTCTCTTCAGATCCAGAAATGGGGTAACATTGAGTGGGCCCACGACTATGAACTGCAAGAGTTGCGTGCCCGTACTGCTGCCGGCACCCTTTTTGTCCACCTCTGCTCGGAAAGCGCCACAGTCAAGCACAAACTCCTGAAGGAGTGAGCCCAGTGTTGTACACACCATTTGGACACAGCTGGCACAGCCACAGCTCTCCTGGCCTGGCCTTTCCTAACTGTGGGATCTCTTGACCTGTGGAGCTCCCCAGCCTACCTGTAGGGTTCCCAGCTTGCATGTGGGAACTTCCTCAGACTAGACATGGGGACTCCCTTGGCCTGTGCTTGTGAGGCTCCCATGGCCTTTGGAGTTTGGCCTTGTTCAGCGTTACCCTGAAATGCTTGTGAGACACTGTGGCTTCTGGAGGTTCAGCCAGATTCTAACCTAGGGGCTTCCTGGCCTGATCAGCAGCAAGTAAGGGGGATACGTTGTACAAGTGACTGTTTCTTGACTCTTGATTTTATTAAATATTTCTCTACCCTGGAAATATGTTGGGCCCTGTTTTTGTATGTGTCTCTGCATTTTCCATTCTTGTTTTGTCTGGGCTTTGTCACCAAGGTTGAACAGCTTATCTCCCATGGCATTTTGATATCTGCTACCTATAGCTGGGAACCTCATGCTGGGGAAACAGTCCTGTCACCATAGACAACTCTATTTGTGTCTTCACTCTAAAAGCTTGAAGGATTTTCCTCCCTGATTTTTCATCAAACAGTACTTTGAAAGTGAGTCCTTGGTCTAAGGTTGTTGTTTCTGTTTGTTTCGACTGTTCTAGAAAAATTGATTTATTCTTGAAAACAGAAAATGTAAGTAGTTTCTGATTTAAAAGCTCTCACGGATGCTGGTGGCTTATGCCTGTAATCCTACCTATTCAGGGGACTGAGATCTGAGGATCATGGTTTGAAGACAGCTTGAGTAGGAAAGTCCGTGAGACTCTTATCTCCAATTAGCCACTCAAAGACTGGAAGTGAAACTGTGGCTTAAAGTGGTAGAGCGCTAACCTTGAGTGAAAAAGCTCAGGGTTAGCACCTAGGCAAGGTTACTTTACATATACTACTATAGTTTGAATCTGGAATATTCCCCAAAGTCCTATGTGTTAAAGATGTGTTTCCCAGGGTAAGAGGTAATGGCCTGGTGAGCAGTCTCTTAAGTCATTGAGTTTGTCCTAACGGGATTGTAAGATCCTGGCCCCTTCTTCACCCTCCACCCGTGTGTGTGTGTGTGTGTGTGTGTGTGTTTGTGTGTGTGTGTGTGTGTTTGTGTGTGTGTGTGTGTGTGTGTGTGTGTGTGTTACTGGAGTTTGAACTCAGGAGACTCACACTTGCTAGGCTGGCATTCTACAACAACTTGAGCCATGTCTCCATCCCTTCAAACTCTTCTCCCTGAACTGACCTCAAACTGCACTCCTCTAGATCTCAGACCATTAGTACTGCAACAGGCCCCAAACCAATGGGGCCAACTGATCATGGATTGAATCCTCTGATGTTATAAGCCAAAATAAACTTTTACTCCTTATAAGTTGATTATGTCCAGTATTTGTTACAGTGTTAGAAAGCTGACTGACACATGCATGTTACTCATCTTCCACTTGAGAATCCTGAGTCCCTACATAACCACTTCCATGCTCCTCAGAGGTAGACACTGCTTCATGGTGGGCCCAATCAAAGGGCAGCGGGAAGAATGTGGTTCTCAGCACAGCAAAGACTTTTTTTGTTGTTGTTGTTGGTCGTGGGGCTTGAACTCTGGGCTTGGGCGCTGTCCTTGTACTCTTCAGCTCAAGATGAGTGCTCTACCACTTGAGGCACAGCGCCACTTCCAGTTTTCTAATGGTTTATTGGAGATAAAGAGTCTCACGGACTTTCCTGCCCAGGCTGGCTTTCAATCACGATCCTCAGATCTCAGCCTCCTGAGTAGCTAGGATTACAGCAAAGATTTTCTTTGTTTTTGTTTTTGTTTTTTTTTGCTTATGTGGTGCTGAGGAATTGAACCCAGGACTTCATGCATGAGAGGCAAGCACTTTACCACTGAGCCAACTTCCCAGCACACAGCAAAGATTTTCTAAGCCCCATGTCATCACATATCTGAGTAATGAGATAACATCACTCCTCCATGGGGTTGTTCAGGTACCTCTCCACATTTCCCATGTTCTCCCTAAACCTTTCCACAGTGCGCTAAGAAAATACTATCACAGAGACAGCCCTGGCTGCAGAGGTGATATTGGAGTCTGTGCAGGTCCCTGCAGGCAAGCTCTGAGCCTAAGGAAGCCACAGTCTCTGCCTTGGAGGCCAACACAAGCCCTATAGTAGTAGTTGTGACCTTTCCTGCTTCCCTGGTCTTCAGCACTCTGAGGAGGGAAGGGCTCAATCCATGCCTACCCTGGCCATGACTGAGGGAATGGCAGTGGCACTGCCTGGTGCTCAGTCACAGCCAAACCTGTAGCTAACCACCAGTCACCTTGAACACCACTTTTGTAAAATGGCCTGCTGTGAATGTCCATCTTCTTTTCATACTTGAACATGGACTCCACCCCTTGCCTGCTCCCCCCATCCCCACCCCCATGCCCACTTCTTTCTCTAAAATAGGGAAAATGTAGCCAGATACCTGAGGATCACAGTTCAGAGTCAGCCTAGGCAGGAAAGTCTATGAGACACTTATCCCCAATTAAATACTAAACAGCCAGAAGTGGAGCTATGGCTCAAGCGGTAGAGCCCTAGCTTTGAACAAAAAATCTCAGGGACAATGTCCAGGCCCTGAGTTCAAGAACTAGTATTGGCACCAAAAAAAAAAAGGAAAAAAAAAACACAAAAAAGTAGGGAAACTGTAACTAGTCCTTTATTTTTCTCTACATTAGAAACTTTTTCCAGGGATGGGGGAAAGAATATGGTATTGAGGGCAATCAGGGAAGATTGAATTGAGGAATTGGGTGAAATGAGCCCACCTCCTCCCTATGGTAGGAGCTGATGCCATATTCTGAAGGGACCCTCTGGCTTACATATACCTAATCTATAATGTCACCAAATTCCAGATTATCCAGCTCGCTCTGCATGTGGTCGGTGTATTGATTGATCTCCTTCACTCGCTTACGGTTCCTCGTGATCTCATCCCTGTGAATCTAGAAAGTGAAACCAAAGCCCAGGGCCTTTAGTCAGATAATTGCTTAAATATATTTTTACTGAGCAGTGTGAAGGAAAGGCAAATATTCTCTGAAATCTCCATAATTTTCGCATCTCATTTACCACAGAGCCTCCCCATCTCCCCATATTCTGATGGTCTCATTATTATTATTATTATTTTTTGCCAGTCCTGGGGTTTGAACTCAGGGCCTAGGCACTATCCCTGAGCCTCTCTGTGCTCATAGCTAGTGCTCTACCACTTGAGCCACAGCACCACTTCCAACTTTTTCTGTTTGTGGTACTAGGGAATCAAACCCCAAGGCTTCATGCATGCTGGGCAAGCACTCTACCACCAAGCCATATTCCCACCCCAGTCTCTCTATATTTGAGGCAGGAATTGGTTAAATGAATTTGAAACAGTCTCTTTAATAGTCCACACTGTCTTCACTATGGAATTCTGTAGTCCTTAACTTACTTTCTCCATTTCATTCCTTATTGAAAATAGCATACCCTAACTACCTAGGGAAATTTTCCATGTTCTCTCTGGCTCATAGCTAGAAAAAACTGACCCAGTTTACTCACCTTGTCTACTAAATGTGTACACCAAGTGTTGATCCCAGTCACCAGCTCGTCTTCTCGATTATCAATCTTCAGGAGGTGTATGTCATGCGATGCTCCAACAGCATTAACAATTGTGTCTTTGTCAACAAAAAGCTGGTAAGTGAGAAAGGCCCAAAGGAGATCATGAGTGTCATTATGCCCTGAGCACAAAGTCAGGGAGCTGAATAGAAAAGGGGCCCTTGGGAGTCCCCTGGCTGTGCAAATCATGTCTGGTTCAGAGTCTACCGTTGTACTGGTGCATTTTGTGCCAGCTCATCCTTGGGTGACAGCTACCTCTCTAACAGCAGTGGCAGGTGTTACTATGCAGTCCTCAGTGGGAGCATGTTTTCTCCAGGGAGAAAACAGATGGCTGCCCAGGACCACCTCATCGAGGACACCTGTTCTCACAATGCCTCTCTCCTGGGAGCTCTGAGTCTGGGTTTCCCAAACCTCTGCCAGCCAGGTGAGAGAAGTGTAAGGCTGGTTGAAGGTCTCAAGGCTGCTCAGTGATGGGCCTTGCAATTCTGTGTGTCTCTCCATTGCCTCTCACATCAACAAGATCAAACCTTGACTCTGGTCTCCTGCCTTCTCCCTTCCTTCCTTCCTTTTCTTTTTGGTAGCACTAGGGTTTGAATTCAGGGCTCGCTCTTTGCTACAGGTTCTATCATTTCATGCTCTTAACACTTGAGTCATTCCACTGGCTCCTTTTTGCATTTGGCTATTTTATTTGTTTGTTTATTATTTATTGTGCCAGTATTGGGGCTTGAAATCTAGGCATCTCAGCTTTTTATGTTCACGGCTGGCACTCTATTACTTGAGCCATACCTCCAGTTCTGGATTTTGTGGGTTAATTGGAATCCAAGAAGTCTCTTGGATTTGTCTACCTGGGCTGGCTTTGAATCATGATTCTCAGATCTCAGCCTCTTGGTTAGCTAGAATTATAGCTATGAACCACTGACACCTGGCTTGTATTGGTTATTTTTGAGATAGGCTGGTCTGGAATGCAATTTTCTGTTTGCATTTCTCCACCTTATGGGGATGACAGGCATGCACTACTACATTCAGGTATTGGTCAAGATGGGATTCTCACAAATTTTCTTTGTTTGGCCTGGGGTAGCCTCATACAATTCTTCAATCTCTGCCTCCCAAGTAGCTAGGATTAAAGGCTTGAGTCACTGCACCTAGCTTCTGCTTTCTCCTGTTCTTTGTTTTCTGCCTTGTAAACAGTTGTTAACAAATCACCACTGTCTATTGTGCTTGGCTGGTAATAGGTATGGATGCTGTGGCTATTTGTGCCTAGAATGGGTAAAAATTGAGAACAGTCATTTCCCAGGGCAGGAGAAAGTTGCTAGAACCTTAGTATGCAGTGCTTTCACTCCACATTGGAGAAACTTTGTAAAGGACTTAAATTTTCGGTGTTGTAGAGAGGACTGTTGCATGGGACATACACTGGTGAGCATCCCTAATCTGAAATGCTTAGAACCATAAGTATTTCAAATGTCATTGATATTCAGATTTTGAAATGCTTCCCATAAAAAAATCTGAAATCTTAGATATTCTGTAATCTATTTTGTGGATTTATGGCTAAGGGATAGGCATATGTTTGGTGAATCTTGCGATGCTGGGGGAGAGAAGTATTCTTTGGTGAAATACAATTGGGAAAAGCCATCATCCTTCAGGTTATAACTGAATCCTCACAGGCACAAGATGTCCTTGAAGGCTTTGCAAGGGCCTATAAATAAATAAATAAACCTTGGAAACTTTTATCTCTTGGTTTCTCAACTTATTGGGCCACAGACTCCAGAAAAATATCTATAGGATGCTGGTTTTCTACAGAATCCCATGTGAGACAACCCAAGTTAGCTGATGTGTGGAATGAAGTGACTAGGGGACCAATTAGCACAGTCACATGGTAGCAATGACAAGAAGTCATTAAGTTCTTTCTCCCTGTATACCAGGCCCCAGGCCAGGCTCTGGGAAGGGTTCAAAGATGAGGGAAACCTGCCCAGGCTGAGCCTCAGGCAGTGAGCTAAGCAGCAGGTGTTTTTGCTATTTTGGAAGTAGCCACAACCCCAACATGAAAAAGTTCTCATTTTTCATTCTGGAAAGTGAGTTGTAGATGATCTTTTAAGTCAGGCAGGGAGATCTTCCTCTATAAAATCTGAATATAGAGACTATGGCTTCAGAGACTTTGAGAAACTCAGTCTGCTTAGAAATTTATGGTTTAGAATTAGTGTGAAAAATGATGTAAAATTTGTAAACTACAAATGAAAGGAATCTGGTTTAAAGAAGTTTTCGTGGTTTTAGAATTTTGTTTGTTGAAATGTCCAAAATGGACTTGAACTCCTGAGCTCAGCCATCCTCCTGCCTCAGCTACTTGAGTAGCTAGAACTCTAGGAGTATAATGCCACACTTGGTTAATGAAATTCTTTAAAAATGTAAGTTACAAGCTGGGCACTGGTAGCTTACCTGACATCCTAGGTACTCAGGAGGCTGAGATCTGAGGCTCACAATTCAAAGCCAGTCCAGGCAGGAAATTCCATGAGACACTCATCTCCAGTTAACCACCAGAAAACTGGAAGTGGTGCTGTGTCTTAAAATGGTAGACCTCTAACCTTGAGTGAAAGAGCTCAGGGACAGCGCCCAGGCCCTGAGTTCAAGCCCAATAACCAACCCCCCAAAAAGGTTTTTTTTTTAAGTTGGTAAGGAGCACCCTAAACATTATCCCCTCTGATATGTAAAGACATATTTCTTTCACAGAGACTTCATGATGGGGACTTTTGGGAAAGACACAGCTGGTACCCCTTTCCCAGGACTTCAGTGCTGTTGATGGCTTGAGGTTTGTTGCCCCATGGCATGTAGGACAGATCATCTTGTCATACCATGTGGCTCTGTAGCACAAGAGACAGAGTGGCTTGGCCTGATGGGGCATGGATTTGTGGGAGCTGGGAGGAGGAAGTTTCCTGATCCCAGCTAAAATCTTATTGCAACCATACTGTCTAGGGACTGCTAGCCTGGGTCAAACCCAGGATCTGTCCCTTGAGCCGAATGTGAGGACTCATGAGTCATCTCCAAGGCCTAGGTCTGAGCACTGGCCCTGGTTTAGCATCTGGACAACTACATGGACATTCAGAGTACTAGGCAGTATACCTGGCAGTCCTGCCACCTCCTAAACAGTAAGCTGTGACTGCCAGTACTACTCAGACCTCCCTCACTGTAGGCTCCAGGCTCCAGCTTTCCCTCCAGCTCCTATCTAAAATGGGCAGGACTTGAACAAATGTGGGACAGCCTGCACTGATAACAATCACTCAACTGAATGAGAGGCATTTGGAAGATAATCTTATCAGGGTGACTTTGTTCTTTTCTTTTCTTTTTTTTGGTCGCTTGTGGGGCTTGAACTCAGCCTGAGTGCTGTCCCTCAGCTTTTCAGTTCAAAGCTAGCACTCTACCACTTGAGCCACAGTGCCATTTCTGGTTTTCTGAGTGGTTTTATTGGAGGTAAGAGTCTCTCAGACTTTCCTGCCCAGGCTGGCTTTGAACTACAATCCTCAGATCTCAGTCCCCTGAGTAGCTAGGATTACAGGCATGAGCCACCGGCGCCTGGCTTCAGTGTGACTTCTTAAGCATGATCTGTTCGATATTACTTGGTAATGGAAGCTAGGTTTTTTTGTTTGTTTTTTCTCTCACCCATGTCTATGAATACACGCCCCCCCCCCACCTTTTGCTATAGACTCAGGAGACATTCTGTTAAAAGCTTTGAGTCAAATTGCCTGGGTTCTAATCACTGCTCTACTGCATGGGCAGGTTACTTTCGTCTCTGTACTTCAGTTTCCTGACCCAGAAAAGGAAACCATAATGTACATACTTTTCCATGTCAAAGTGGAGATTCAAAGATCCTGGGGCTGGGGCTGGGAAGGCGGCTCAGTGGTAGAGTGCTTGCTGTGCATGCATGAAGCCCTGGGTTCGATTCCTCAGTACCACATAAGCAGAAAGAGCCAGAAGTGGTGCTGTGCCTCAAGTGGTAGAACACTAGCCTTGAGCTGAAGAGCTGAGGGACAGTGCCCTGGTCCAGAGTTCAGGCCCCACCACGGACAAAAAAAAAAAAAAAATCCTGGGGATGTCTGGCCTGCAACTTCAGATATTCCCAAGGGGCAGAGGTTCCCACTGGCTGTCCACATAAGTCCTCAAGAGCCATACTCCATATAGCCTTGTTAGTGGGCTCCTGAGCCCCTTGGCTGAAAGGAAGAATCTCATGTCTAGTATGCTCAAAATGGCCAGTTTATGGTCTCCAGTAAGGGTACAGCCCTGGCTCTGCAGTCATGGCCCAGGCTCAGTATCTATCAGATTAGAGTTCCAATTTGGACTCTAGAACTCCCAAGATTTGGGCATTTTACCAAGCATCTCTGAGCCCCATTTTTACTGAGCGTTCTCATCTGGGGTGAGAAGGTGGTGTTCCTTTGAGAAGTAAATGAAGTCATGTGTGATCTCAGGCCAGAGAGTGGCAAGCCCCCTGTGAGAGAACCCACCATTGTCAGCCACTGTGGTCAGTGCCTACTTGATCATTAGGTTCTGAGTATTTTATGAGCCATAGGGACAGTGTCAGGTGGCACCAGGCAGGACCTGCTGGGCAGAAGGGAGGGCAGGCCACTGCACACAGCATCCCTGCCTAACTCCCTGGATCCCTCCAGAGCCCATCTTTTGCTGTGTGTCCCAACCATTAACAGGTAGCTATGTTTCAGTGCTGTGTCCCCTGGGGGTCACAGACCTGTGAACTCCTCTAGCTCATAAGAGTCTATCTGGGGAGTTTTGGAGCAGGCTCTCTTTGCAGAAAATTATTTCCTGGCTTCAGGAAGGGTGACATTTTTCCCATTTCTGTTCAACAATTAGCTGCATTTAATGGCTTAGAGAAAGAATGCTATGAGGATATCCATCTTGCCATAGGTCAGGCTACAGGAGTGCTGGCCTCTGTCTGCAGGACTTAGCCCAGCACCTACCAAGAGTGGAGGCTTGATGGATGCATGCTCACCTATATTCCACAGATGACTCCTGGCACCTGTGCTGGACACTGAACACTGTCTTTGGCACTGTTAGATGCATAGGGATGAAGGACTGTCCTTGTCCTTTCTCACAAGCTTATATGTAGTATGAATAATCACTTAAGAAAATCAACCGGAACCAGAGAATTTGGAACTGGGGTAGGTGATAGAGAGGGACAACGGTTTTCAGGAAGGTGAGGAAAGAGGGAGGGAAGGCCTCTCCAAGGAGCTGACATTTGAGCTGAGTTTTGAATGACAAGGACAAACTGTGTACATGGAGACCCAAGGGAAGAGCACGTCTGCCAGATGGAATATGAACTGAAATGAGCAGGCCTGGGAGACTGGGGAATAGCTCAGAGGTTTGGGGAGGGGGAAGGGGGAAGGTAGATAAGCATCAGGACTGGATGTGGGGGAGGGGACTGCCAAGGCAAGCAGGCCTAGTCCTGAGGATCAGGTGCCTAGAAGGCATAACGTAAGTCTAGGAGTCATAGCAAGCCATGAAGGGGTGGAGGGCAAAAGTGTGAACTGGCATGATTTGGATTTTTCAAAGGATCCTTCTGTCTTCATGAGGAGAAGAGCCTGTTAGAGAGCAGCTAGGAGGCCAGGCAAAGGATGGCAGTGACTTGGTTTGGTGGTGACATGGCAGTGGAGGGCAGCTGAGAAACTGACAGTGGAATGGATGATGCAGAGCGAAGGCAAGTCCTTGACAGGAAGCGTGTGGGCCTCTGTGCTCTTTCTGTGCACACCTGCACCCTTACCCAGACACATACATACTGCTGGACCCCAATATACACTCAGATGGAGCATCTCAATGCAGATGATCAAGTATACAGCCAGATATCCTGGGCTGGCCTTGCTGCCCTGACCTCTATCACTGGATGCACCACGGGAAGTTGGGTTAAAAATTATGCTTAGAAGGCTGGGAAGGTACCCCATCAAAAAAATTAAACAAAAGACAGGGGCTGGGAAGGTGGCTCAGTGGTAGAGTGCTCGCCTTGCATGCATGAGGCCCTGGGTTCGATTCCTCAGCACCACATAAGCAGAAAAAGCCGGAAGTGGTACTGTGGCTCAAGTGGTAGAGCGCTCACCTTGAGCTGAAGAGCTGAGGGACAGCACCCAGGCCCAGAGTTCAGGCCCCATGACTGGACACCCCCCCAAAAAAAAATTAAACAAGAAGGATGGGAAGGTGGCTCAGTGGTAGAGCACGTGCCTTGCATGTCTGAGGCCCTGGGTTCGATTCCTCAGCACCACATAAGCAAAAAGAAAAAAGCCGGAAGTGGCGCTGTGGCTCAAGTGGTAGAGCGCTAGCCTTGAGGCCCAGGCCCTGAGTTTAAGCCCCAGGACTGGCAAAAGAAAGAAAGAGAGAGAGAAAGAAAGAAAGAAAGGAAGGAAGGAAGGAAGAGAGAGAGAGAGGAAGGAAGGAAGGAAGAAGGAAAGAAAGAAGGAAGGGAGGGAGGGAGGGAGGGAAAGAGAAAAATGATGCTTAGGCATAGTACCAACACCCCAGTAGTCTTTCTTGTCAGACTCTTAAAGTAAGACTTTTGAGGGGAATCTTAGACCTTCACCTCTGTTTGTCACTGTATCTCTTAGAAAGGGCCAGGAGACCCTATGGAGTTGAACTTTTAGAAACCAACCTACTGATAAATTGAAACCACCTTGAGCTCCTCCCTAACTGGACCCCACTGGGTGCCCTGCCAGGTGACATGTTAGCCTAATTCACCCACCAACAACCCTGAAAAGCACATTACTTTTGCAGATGGGGAAGCTGAAGTGCTGAGAGGCTGTCAAGACTACTTGAGCCAAGTAGGGATGGTTTGCATTTTACCTATCCACACCGCCTTATTCACCCGGCCACAACCACACCTAACCACCGCAACACAGCCTCATTTTCCATACCCAACCTATAGCACCACAAGCCCTGCACTCTTGGCTCACCGCGCGCACAGAGTCAGGAAGGTCCTCGTCAAGCTCGCCCTTGAGGATCTTCTCCAAGGTGTTGATGGAGATCTCCAGGAGCTTCTCATGATGGTGATTCTCTAGGTCCCGACACTGAGCCATTGTGCAGTGGTTAAGCAAAGCCAGAGTTGGAGCAAGCCCTGAGTGTTCCTGGCCTTTGGCTGGGCCTCTGACAAGCAGAGGTCCATCTCATCTCTGCTCGACAGAACAGACTTTAAGATGAACATTGAGGTGCAAAGAGGTGGCATTGACTTCACAGCCATCATCTATGTGCAGCAAGCCCCGGGGCCAACCCCCACCCACCTAGCTTGCTCTGGTTATCATTGACCCTCAGTGCCCAGCTTACCTCTGTATTATTATCTCATCAGCCTCCCTATCCTATGGCCTCCTACCTGGACACTGCAGTTGACTGGATTGCTCTTTCACATTTTTACTCCTTTTCTCCACAGCAGCCAGAGGGAGCTTAAGGACCCTACTGAGCCATAGTGCCTCACACCTGTAATCCTAACTTCTCAGAAAGCTGAGATCTGAGGATTATGGTTTGAAGCTACGTTGGGCAGAAAAGTCCATGAACCTCTTATCTTCAGTTAACCACCAGAACGCTGGCAGTGGAGCTGTGGCTCAGGCAGCAGATCACCAACTATGAACACAAAAAGCTAAGGGATGATGTCTAGGCTCTGTGCTTAAGCCCCAGTACTGACATATACACACATAAAAAGGACCTCTGGTTCATCCTCAGGGCCTTTTGCACAGCTTGCCTCCACTACTACAATGTCTCCCACCCTTTCATTTGGTCAGTATGACCAAATGAAGCTCAGGGAAGATCCTGGGTCTGGCCTCTGGGTTAGCCGCTACTCACCCTGTACCCTGGGTACCACTTGCTACCTCTAAAACTTTCATTGGCTTGCCAGACTCTGAATCTCAGGAACTGTCTGGGGTCTCCAAGGATCAGAGTGGAGCTTAGCAGTTTGTCCCCATGTGGCAGGTCCTAAGTTCAGGTAGAGAGATGGCTGATCATGCCTTAACTGTTGGCTTCTAGCTTTAATACTTAATCTAACAAGCTTCTTATAATTTGTCAGTGTCTTCAATATGGAAGTTGCACCAGCCCAGTGGTTCTGGAATATCATCTATCCACAAATGTTACCCATTGGAGAAAAAATATATGAGGACTTGATTGCATAGCAGTCCCTCTGGGCATCCAAAGCATTCCTCTAACAAGGCCATCATTTGGAATCTCCCTTAGGCCTCATGGAACATTCTTTTTTGGTTTCTTTTTTTGGTCGTGGGGCTTGAACTCTGGGCTTGGGTGCTGTCCCTCAGCTCTTCAGCTCAAGGCGAGCGCTCTACCACTTGAGCCATAGCGCCACTTCCGGTTTTCTGGTGGTTTTATTGGAGATAAAGAGTCTCATGGTCTTTCCTGCCCAGGCTGGCTTTGAACCGTGATCCTCAGATCTCAGCCTCCTGAGTAGCTAGGATTACAGGCATGAGCCACCAGTGCCCGGCCTCATGAAACATTCTTTTGGACATTCTATGTGGTTGCCAAAATGACATGCTTTTAAAGAGAGCTTTTCCCTCAGGAAACTGGAAGTTTTATCTTCTTCTAATTTCAAAGGTGTAGATTCTAATTAAGTAAGATCCTGTGGTCAATTTAAATATCCTCTCGGAAATGTAGCTCTTTCTATAAGTCAGAAAGGAATGTATCTTTTTGTAAATCAAATGGGAAGTAGGTATATCTGGAGGAAAGTATGATCATTAGAGGGATGATGGGACAACTTTAGGGCATTGGTGGCCATAGAGGGGGACAGGTGAGCAATCCTACAGATGATCACCTGCAAGCTTCTTTGCAGGCTTCTGAAGCAGCTTTTCCTGTCTTCCTCCTTCTCTTCTTCTGCCTCCTACTCCTCCTCTTCTCCTCCCCCTCCTCCTCCTTCCTCCTTTTTCCCTCCTCCTTTCCTCCCCCCCTTCCTCCTTCTCCTCCTCCTTTCTTTCTTTCTTTTGTGCTAGTCTTAGGGCTCGAACTCAGGGCCTGGACACTGTCCCCGAGCATTTTTTGCTCCAAGTGAGTGCTCTACTACTTGAGCCACAGCTCCACACCTGGCTTTTTTGGATGCTTCATTGCCGATAACAGTCTCACAGACTTTCATGCTCAGGCTGGCTTTGAACAGGGACCCTCAGATCTCAGCCTCTTGAGTAGCTAAGATTACAGGATGAAACACCAGTGCCTAGCCTATTCCCTGTCTTTTGTTCAAAGTATGGACCCCTCTTATCCAGTTCCTCTGGAGGCCAAGACCAAACTCAGGGACCTGCAGTAGCTCTTCATGGGAGGAGATCATTCCAGAAAGGATATAGGCCTTGAACATTTTCAATAAAGATTCCTACCAAGTCGATAATGTTCCGTTCAAAAATATTTATAGTCTCCTAGAAATGATAGAACACAGTTAATATGTGCATTTAGACTATTCAATGCATTTTAGACAGTGGGACTTAGCATATTCCTTTCCTGGGTGCTGAGCTGCAGGCCCCTTACATTGCCTCAAGATGGGGAAAGTGCAGGGTACCCACAGGAGCCTTGATGATTCTGCAGACCGAGCAAATTAGACATTTTTATATGTGTAAATGCCACTGCAGTGAGGGAAAATGGGGTGAAGTGAAAAGCACGACTGTCCCTCAGCCATTTGGACTCAAGCAGGACCATGCATGGTTCTAGGAAGCAATTAGGTGCTGAACGGTGACCTCCCCCACCCCCCCCATCACAGGTGCTATGGTTTAGAGGCAGTGGGGGCTCTCCCCTGGTGCTGCATACTACTTCTGCAGGGCTGGAATACTCCCCTGCGGGGAGTGAGCACTGCCTTGCATGCAGTGTGATGGTGAAATCTAGCTCATGTCGGAGGTGTCACTTTGATGTGTGAGGAATTGATTAGGCGCTATCTCTTGGCCCAGCCACAGCAGCATCTGATGAGGTTCAATTCATCACACCACTTCCAACTCCCAGCCTCCACTGCCTGCGAACACACGTCACCCTGGCTGCTAATGCATTTTAGACAGCCACACTTTTCATTTGCCCTCCTCAGCACTGAGCACTGAGCAGCCGGCTCCTCACATCACTGGGGAAACAGCAACCTCAGGCTGTGCTGTGGAGGGGGGGCCTTTGTTTGGTCCTTGGGTCTAATCCAAAACCTCTCTCTCTCTTCTCTATTGTAGCTCTGGGCTATTCCAGGATGGAGAGAACATTCCAGAAGAATGGATCCACCTCCCATTCTCATAAGAATCAGTTCCCCATCTAAATGACTAAATTGTTAGTAATTATTAAAATCTGGTGCTGGAAGTGTAACTCAGTGGTAAAGTGCCTGTCTGGCATTCTAGAGGCCCTAGATTCCATCTCCCTAGCACCGCCCACCCCACCCCACCCCCCAAAGCAAATTTAGGGTCATCTTGGATGTTTTAACATAGGGGCTTGTGGAAGCTATGCCTGTGGGTATTTCTACAGTACTATCACTGGGATCCTGCATCTGAGCCTCGCCAGGCCTTACCTCCAGCTGCTCTACCAGCTGCATCTCCAGTGTCATGAGCACATTGAATAGCTCATTGATGTCCTCACTGCACTCCACTATCTTCTTCTCAATGGTGGGCAGGTCAGTCTCTTCTCGGATGGCGCTTAAATTCTGAAAACCAAAACCTGTGCTTTAGGAATCAATAATTAAGCACAGTTACTGCTAGGTGGCAATTGGGTTTTATGGGAAAAAACTTGGACTCTGGGGTGGAATTGCCCAAGTTCAAATCTCAGCCCTGCCATTGTCCAGCTCTACAGGCTTGGAGAAGCTATCTATTGTGGACTGGTGGTTTAGTTCAGTGGTAGTGCTTGCATAACATGTCAGGAGGCAGTTTTAGAGGCTGGAAGTACAAAATCAGTTGACCCCATTTGGTGGGCTTCACCCATACGCCATTTGGATGCATCACAACTTGGTTGTATCACAACATGGTGGGTGGCTTTATGTAGCAGGAACGTGTGCAAGTATCTAGGGACTTGGGCAGGAGGGGTCACATGGCAAGAAAAGAGGTAAAAGAAAAGGAGTTCAGAAAGCATGAATCTTATGTATCTACCTAATTTTTTTTGTTAGTTGTGGGACTTGAACTAAGGGCCCGAGTGCTGTCCCTGAATTCTTTAGCTCAAGGCTAGCACTCTACCACTTGAGCCACAGCTCCACTGCTGGCTTTTTCTGTTTATGTGGTACTGAAGAATTGAACCCAGGCCTCATGCATGTTAGGCAAGCACTCTACCACTAAGCCACATTCCTAGCCCTCACAAGACTTTTCTTTCCTGGGCTGGCTTTGAACTGTGGTTCTCAGATCCTCGTATCTCATTCTCCTGAGAGAATGCTGGTGTGAGCCTGGTCAGCACTCATCTCTAATATTTTTTTTTTCTTTTTGGCAGTAGTGGTATTTGAACTGAGAGCCTCATGCTTGCTGCTCTACCACTTGAGCCACTCAGTCAGCCTCTTTTGCATTGGTTATTTTCAAGATAAGATTTTTTTTTTTTTTGGTTGTGGAGCCTGAACTCTGGGCCTGGGCGCTATCCCTCAGCTCTTCAGCTCAATGCTAGTGCTCTATCACTTGAGCCACAGCGCCACTTCCACCTTTTTTTTTCCTCTCTGCTTACGTGGTGCTGAGGAATCGAACCCAGGTCCTCATGCATGCAAGGCAAGCACTCTACCATTGAGCTACCTACCCAGCCCCCAATTCTTGATTTATGTCTCAGCCAGCCTGGATTGTGATCCTCCTGCACCGCCCCCCTCTCATTTCCTCTCTGCCCCCTCCCCATTACTGGGATGACAGGTGCACCACTGCAGTCAGCCATTGTGCTTCCCTATAACTTGAGATGACAGGTGCACACCACTGTGTCCAGCTATTGCATTAAATGGAGTCTCGCCAATCTGTATGCCTAGGCCAGCTCCAAATAGTGATCCCACATCACTGACTCCCAAAAGTAGCTAGGATAATAGGCTTAAGCCACCACCTTCCAAGAGGCTGATCATGTTCTCTAGGCTGAGATCTGGAGGATCAGGGTTCAAAGCTAGCCTGGGCAGAAGAGTTTATAAGACTCCATCCCTAAAATAACCAGTAAAAAGCCAGGCTGGAGGCATTGTGATCAGCCCTCATGCAACATCAGCTTGTTTTTAGATACTTAGTATTAGTCATGGAGCAGGATAGAGTTAATTGGTCATGAGTCAGTGGGAAAAAAGATACTTCCCATCTAGATAGAAATCAAACTCAAGGGCTGGGAAGGTGGCTCAGTGGTAGAGCGCTTGCCTTGCATGCCTGAGGCCCTGGGTTCAATTCCTCAGCACCACATAAGCAAAAAGAAAAAAGTCGGAAGTGGCACTGTGGCTCAAGTGGTAGAGCACTAGCCTTGAGCTGAAGAGCTGAGGGACAGCACCCAGGCCCAGAGTTCAGGCCCCACGACCGGACCCAAAAAAAAGAAAAAAGAAACTCAATCTCTACTTCAAACCTTATATGAATACAAGTTCCTGATGGAAGTGAAGATTCAGTTATGAAAAGGAAAATCATAAATATGTTAGAAGAAAATACAGGGAACTTTTTTTCTTGGCAGTACTGGGGTTTGAACTCAGGGGTTTGTAGTTACTGACACTCTGCACTTACTAGGTAGTTTTTTTGAGCCAATACCCAAGCCTTTTTGTTTTCTGTTGACACATAGGGTCTCCCTTAGTCCTTTTGGGCTGGCCTGAACTGTGATCCTCCCATTTATGCTTTCCAGATAGCTGAGATGATAGGTGCTACTACATCCAGCTTTTTATTGGTTGAGATGGGGTCTTGCAAACTTTTTGCCTAGGCTAGCCTTGAACTGCAGTCTTCCTGATCTCAGCCTCCTAAGGATTACAATGATAAGCCACTATACCCTAGGTTTTAACTCAGTGCCTTACACTTGATCTGCTTGCTTGCTTAGCTTGTTCAGCTGGCACGCAATCATTTAAACAATGCCTCCAGCCTGGCTTTTTACTGGTTATTTTAGGGATGGAGTCTTATAAACTCTTCTGCCCAGGCTAGCTTTGAACCCTGATCCTCCAGATCTCAACCTCTTTGGTAGCTAAGATTATAAGTATGAGCCACTGGTGCCTTACTATGAGGACTAAACTGTGGATGGGAGGAAAGCAGGGCAGAGCTATAGGAAGGGACCTGGGTGGGGAGGTAACTAGGGGTGCTCAGGATCCATAGGGTCTTTGGAACTTCCAGGACAGAGGCCTCAACTTAGGATGTGCTTTCCAATATCAAGTCAGACCAGGTGGTGAGTGGTGCACCTGGATCTGGGTACAGATGTTTCCAGGCCCTGTGGGCTGTCTGAGTGAGAGTCACTGCTCAGGCTATAGAGGAACTGGCTTGTTCTGAGGAACAAAGCCTGGCTCCTGGAAGTGGGTGGCTTGGTCCAGTCAGGCTTCACCTGGCCACATCCTACTTTTCTTCCACATGGACTCGGTGCCCTGAGGGAATCTGGGCCTCAGGAGGAGCCACTGACTGACCTCCAGCCATCCCAATTCCAGGAGCTACAGGAAACCAAAGAAGAAACACTAGGAAGTGGCTGGACAGGAATAGAGGACTGGAGGGTGGCCTGTCCAGTCCAAAGAGAACAATTCTGATGACAGCTGCCTCAGGAGAAGAAGTTGGCAGCCACATTTCCCCATGAAATCTTCCTGTTTTCACTGTCAGCAGGATGCTCAAGACATTTTTAAACCTTTTGCAGGCCAAACCAAACACAGATGGGAACCAAATGTGTCCCTCTGCTGAAAGTTTTAACTGCTGCTCCAATGCAGTAACATACCTCCTCATAGTAAGAAGGGTCTCAAGAATCAAATCACACAGGACATGAAGACCCTCAGTCAGGCTCCTGAGGCAAGGACAAGGCTGTGGGAGTGGGGAGGGCTAGGAAATCTGGGGTTGGAGGCCAACCCTGTTATGTCTAACTGGCTTTATTGTGGAGAGAGTGCTCCGCTTAAACTGAATGAATTTATGGGCTCCTTGAAGTCTCTCACCTTGCAAGTAAACTAGTGTCTGTGAGTAGCTTTTAGGAAAAAGAAGTTCGGCAGTGCTCTTTAAGAGACTCACAATGATCCACTATGTATATTAGGTTAATATCCTGTCTTGCCCAATGCTCACAGCTGTAATCCTAGCTATGCAGGAGGCTAAGATCTGAGGATGACAGTTTGAAGCCAGACCAGGCAGGAAAAATCTGTGAGACTGGTATCTCCAATTAACCACTAAAAAGCTGGAAGTTGAGCTGTGGCTCAAGTTGTGGTTCAAGTGGTAGAACACTGATCAGGAGCAAAAAAGCTAAGGGACAGTAACCAGGCCCTGAGCTCAAATCATAGTATGAGCACACACAACAAAATAATAATGCTACCTATGCTGGGCATGATGGTACATGTCTGGCTACTGGAGAGGCTGAGGCAGGAGGAGTATTTGAGCCTAGGACTTTGAGACCAACTGGAACAACATAGGCAGGATAGGTCAGGGAGCATGAGGCATGGGAGACAGTAGCCAAGAATTCAGAGATAAACTATGTATTCATGAATATGAAAGCACAGACATTGTTTTCTTTGCTTTAAGCTTCACACTCCCTCACTGAGCTGCAACATATTAAAAAAGAGGGGCGAGGGCAGAGGGAGTAGCTTTCTCCCTCTGCCTTTTCCCGCTTGTCCCTAAAATTAGTATACTCTGAGAACTAAGCAAAAATGCTTTGAAGAATGACAGCTGTCCTGGGGTGGGAGTGGGGGGGACACACTTGGTAAAATGATTCCTTTGATCAAAGTGTTTGTAATATTTCTCTCAAGGTTGGACACTTGTCTTGAAGGGAGCATCTGGTAGTACTCATTCTTTGTTTTTGTTTTTTGTAGGTTATGGGGCTTGAACTCTGGGCCTGAGCACTGTCCCTCAGCTTTTCAGCTCAAGGCTAGTGCTCTACCACTTGAGCTACAGCGCCATTTCCGGTTTTCTGGTGGTTTATTGGAGATAAGAGTTTATGGCTTTTCCTGCCCAGGTTGGCTTTGAACTGTGATCCTCATATCTCAGCCTCCTGCATAGCTAGGATTACAGGTGTGAGCCATTGGTGCCCGGCTTCATTCTTTGTTTAAAGGTATGCTCAACCATCTATGTCGTTAATGACCTCAAATTAATAAGGGACCAACCTTTAAATCTCTGGGTCCATATGACATGATTCGATGTACCAGATGTCCAGAACATAGATGAGCACTCAACCAGAGGGGAATCTGAGCCAATCCCCCAGCCTACTTTAAAAACCCTGATGTTAGAGTACTCTACACACCATGGGCCCACACCCATGTCTAGGTTGAATACTATCTTTCCACCTTCCCTTTGATTTTCTTTGCTAATAATTTTTTGGTGTCCATCTCAATGTGTCCTAAAATTCTTTTTTTGCAATGATGGTGGTTCACACTTGTAATCCTAACTACTCAGAAAGCTGAGATCTGAGTATCATGGTTTGAAGTTAGCTCAGACAGGGAAGGCCATCAGATTTATCTCCAACCAACAAAAAGCCATAAGTGAATCTGTGGCTCAAAGTGGTAGAGCACTAACCTTGAACACAAAACAATAACAACAACAAACCCAAAACTCAGGGGCAGTCCCCAGTTCCAGAGTCCAGCCCCAGGACACCACAAAAACAAAACAAAGACATGAACTCAGTACTCAAGGGCCATGGGAGGAATTCACTCGTTTGGAGAAATTCTCCCTACAGCTTCATCAATTCCAGTAGCCACCCTGTCTCAAATAATAAGGATAATGCTAACTCAAAGAAACAAAAAGTACAGACTGGTCCCTTTCCAATGACCCCTGCTTATGTTGAGTCCTGAATGCTAGAGCCTTCTTCTCTGCTAGGTCAGACATCCTTCCTCCAACACACCTGCCTGACTCAGCCTCACTTTCCTTAGACTCCCTAAGCTCTAAGGTTTCTCTCCAGGATATCACAGACCACTGTGCTCACTCAGGTGGAGAGAGCTTGGTCCTTAAACTCCCTAAGGACAGCAGTCATGTGCAACATCACCCCAGTAACCCAGGGCCAGGCACAAAGTGGGGCTCCAAAAATGCCTGCTAAATGAATGCATGAACAGAAGGAAGGAATTGTCATGGTCGTCATCAGAGTAGCACAAATAATACCATTACTAATAGCAATGATGATCGGAATGACCTTGAATTCCAAGGGCATCTTTGTAGAGACCTGCAAGCCCCATATTGGCTCAGTCATCAAGCAATGGGGTGCTGTGGTTGAAGAGCTCAATGAGCTCAATCATGGGTCTACCACTCAATGAAGGTGTGATCCCTGGGCAAATGGGACAATGTCCACAGGCCTTAGGAGTCACAATAGTTGCAGGTCCTCCATAGCAGGAGGAAATAAGGCTCAAAGGAGGCAAGGGGGACCTACCAGCATGTGTTTCTCCTCGAACTTGGCAATCTTGAACTTGCCTTGCTCCTGGTTTTCGTGGATGGCCTCGAGCATACATTCATTGAAGGTATCTAGTTCTATTTTCCTCTTCTCCTGCTGTTTTAAGCCATACTCAAAAATGTTCAGGCAGATGATGACAAACTTGTCCTTGTAGGTGAGAGGCTGTTAAGGAAGCTCATTGCTATCTCAGGAGCAGGCTGCTATGGGGGCACAATAAAGTTGCTTGAGTTTCCTGGCAGAGCACAGACTATGTGCTAAATACCGTGTGCAGGACTTGAAATAGTGGTGGTGTGTGGACCCTTGGGCAGAAGAAGAAACAGAGGCCCAAATGGCCAGGATTTAAAATGTGGGGCATAATGTAGTGGTTGGGACAGTTATTCAACCTGAGCCTGAAAGAGTTAAGAACAAGGCTGAAAAGTCCCAGAAAACAGACTCTGGAAAACTTGGGGTCTAGACTAGTCTCCATGCTCTGAGAAAGATCATGTAATGAAATGCAGATGACCAAGTCCTGGCTCTGCTGCTGCTTCTGGGACCCACCCTGGGTATTCCAGTCGTGGACTCATTTCCTCCTCTGCCGCCAAGGACAGGAAAACTGCCGCCACACAGAGTTCCTGGGAGACATCCTGAGGGTCAGGTAGGTAAAGCTCACATGACATTGTTCCTTCTGAGGGAATGGAAACCAATTCTTGGAAGATGAAATGACTTACCCAGAGTCTCACAGCCACAAGGTCTTCCAGCCCAGAGTCTGATCCAGGTCACCTGGTGAGGAGGTATCCAGGCCAGGCCACAGCCCCATCTGTCTGGCCTAGAGAGCCCTGTTCTTCACTGTTTCCTATCACTCCACCTCATTCTGTTCAGAATGTTGAATTCGGAGTCAATTTTGATCCAATATGAATGCTGTCAGATTCAAAACAGAGTCATCTGTGCCAAACTCTGGCCAAAGGAGCTGGGGAAGGCCACAAAGGGAAGTCCTCACGCAGGATTTGATATCACAAAGCCAGTCGTCTGCTCAATGAGAATACAGTGTCACAAGCTTAAATAAGCAAACCAGCTTGTATGGTTTGAGGATAAGTTGTAGCCAGCAACTGTCAGTACCATGAATGTACAATGCAGCTTTCCCTTTCTCAGAGTACCTAGCCTTTCCTGTGTTTGCACTTCAGGACATCTTGGTCTGTGTGTGAGTCTCACACTGTGATTCTACTTTCACATTTCATTCCCAATAAAGCAATTGCTTTATTGGAGATTTGTCTGCATATTTTCTTGGAACTTGACACCAGTAGCAGTAGATCCACATGACGTGGTCATGTCACCTCAGAGCCTCTCAGCTATTGGACTCCTTGCCTACCCCTAGCCATCAACTCACCACGTAAACCACTAGTAATCATTGCCACTGCCACATTGCCAAGTGTTGACCACATCCTAGGGCTCCAGCTAACTAGGGAATGAATATGAGCTCTCAGGCCTTGCAGACCAGAGTTTAAACTCCAGCTTCTAATAAAGTGACATTGAGCCAGGTGTGTCTATCTCATGCCTGTAATCCTGGCTACCCAAGAGGCAATTCAATGCCAACGTGGACAGGCAAACTCATAAGACTCATATCTCCAATTAACCACCAAAAAGCTGGAAGTGGAGTTGTGGCACAAATGGTAGAGCACCAGCCTTGAGCAAAAGAGGGACAGAACCCAGGTCCTGACTTCAAGACCCAGTACTGGTGTATGTATGTGCATGCATACACACACACACACACACACACAGACTCTCTCTCTCTCTCTATGTTGACTTAACCTGTCCAGCTTCAATTCTCCATCTATAAAATGCATTTGATCTAGTGCAAGAGCATAGCAAGAACAAGTAACTGTTTAGTGGGATCCTTGCCCCGAACACACGGTCTAATTGCCCTATCTCTGAAAAGCTGGTTGTCAAGCATAGCAGACTTAGACCAAGCCAACAATCACCCAAGATGTCCCTGAAATCTAGAGAGTGTTTCCCCAGGCAGGTCAGCGGTCCTAGCTGGAACTATGTTTTGGGTACATTGCTAATATGGGAATTTTACCTCCAAAGGTCTCATGTGAGAAACAAGGAAACAACCCCAGAGCAGAAGAAATTTGCCAAAAGAGGCTGGTGGCACTCAGACCAGGCTCAGGCATGGGAAGGATATACTTCAAGGAGCTCGTTGACTCCAGGCAGGTAGGACAGCTTGTTGCCCTCTGTGTCATCAGCATACATGCTGTCAAACAGGAAGGAGCCATTCAGGTACTCAATGAATGCCAACTGTGGGTGAAAACACATGTCGGGTATGGTGACCCTTAGTCAGGCATCTGCAAGGGCAATGGGGCAGTAAAGGCTTCCTGGAGCAATACAACACCTAGACTGCAGCCCTCCCTCCTAGAAAGGCTGGTATGTGGCATGCTCCATGTAAATGGCGTGTGTGGAGGATAGAGCTGTAGACTGCTCTAAACTTTCTGACTCAGTCTGGCTGCACAGAGATCTGAGGGCTAGCTAGAAGGAGGCCAACAGGTTGCATCTATGAATTCAGGACATGCTGAGCATAGGGACTTAAACTGCTGCTGAGTGGCATGGGGAATTGCCCGAGGACCTTAAGAAAAGGGGATGCTGAGACATATTGTTATTAGCACAATCTCTCTAGCTCTGAGTGCTGGGGGCTAGGGTTTGGACTCAGGTGGAGGTAGCTTTAAGAGCAGGTACCAGAACAGAGAAAGGGCAGAGTAATGTACATGTTTTTAGAGTTTGGAAACCTCCACTTAATAATCAGGGCACTTGGGCATCTCTGAGCTAGGCTGGGGGCTGGGTGGCACCTTCCAGATGGTACCTTGTGTTCTTCTAGCATATCTTTCTTGGCCTTCTCCTCCTCTGCCCGGAGCTCCATTACATTCTCCCGGTGCTTCAGCTCGTCGATGCTGAACTGGTGCTTTATCTTTGCCAGCTCTTTCTGACCAAGGAACAGGAAATGATATCATCATCAGAGGACATTTGGTTTTCCCAAGACACAGTGACCTCTGTCATCCTGTGGCCTCCTAAAGATGGACCAGCATCAAGAAGGGCGTCCTTTTCACAAGAGATGGATGAGCTGTGAGGATTTAAGAATGAGAACAGCTCATCTCCTTGTAATCTTTCTCAGGTATCCTGAGTCTACAAGAAAATCAGGAAGCTGGGAAGTCACAGAGCTAAAGGCACTCGAGAGCCTGCCCCTCGTTCTGGGAAGCCTGAGTTGCTCCATGCTGTAGGAAGCACTGGAAGCTGCCCACCTGCTGGAGTCCTGTAGCACCAAGGGTGAGGTATAGCTGGTCACAGGCCAGATAGTTCTGCAAGTAGGAGTTTTAAGGTCCCTGCTTTGTATATGGCTGCCTTTTAGGACTGTTTGCTTACTGACTCTGTCTGTCTGTCTGTCTGTCTGTCTCTCTCTATCTCTCTCTCTCTGTATACACCTGCCAGTACTGGAGCATAAAGTCAGGGCTTTGGGCTCTTGCTTAGCCTTTCTCCTAATGGCTAGCACTTTACTATTTAAGAGACTATTCTACTTCTGGCTTTTGGCTGGTTAGTTGGAGATACGGAGTCTCAGAGACTTTTCTACCAGGATTGGCTTCAAATCTTGATCCTCAGATCTCAGCATTCTGAGTACCTAAGATTATAGGTGTGAGCCACCTATATGACTAGATGACTCCATAAAGCAAATGAAGGTTCTTTCATTCACTGTTGATGCAATGGGAGCACCCAGGTTGTAGCCCTGATGACAACTTCTGGGTGCCAAGGAAGCAATGCTTGGGAAGAGATTTTGTTACTACTTAGTGTTAGGCTGTCTTATGGTTTTAGAATTTGTTTATAAGTGTTGGTATTAACCTTACCCCAGTCAAAATGTCCCACATCCACAAATCAGCCAACCACAAATGCTGGAGGGGATGCAGAGAAAGAGGAACCCTATTACACTGCTGGTAGGAATGTACACTTATACAACCACTTTGGAAAGCAGTCTGGAGGGTCCTTAGAAAGCTAAAGATTGACCTCCCTTATGACCCAGTCATACCACTTCTAGACATCTACCCTGAACAACAGGAACCAATATACAAGGACACATGCACCTCCATGTTTATTGCAGCACTGTTCACAATAGCTAGGATATGGAAACAACCCAGATGTCCCACCACAGATGAATGGATCCAAAAATTGTGGTATCTATACACAATGGAATATTATGCAGCCATTAGAAATGACAAAATAATGGCATTTTCAGGGAAATGGATAGAGCTAGAAGGAATCATGTAGAGCGAGGTAAGCCAAGAGCAAAGAGATAAATGGTACATGATCTCCCTGATAAGTGGATGCTAAATCCAAAATGTTAGGTGATACGACAAAATTAACAGGACTTAAGAAACAAAGAACTCCCACTCATCTGGTCGAACCACTACTAAATATCCCCATGCTGCTGATCACCTGTATGGTGTATATGTGTACACCATTATATGTTATAGACTGTGATAGACAATTTGCTCCAGGAAAGTTAGAATGAACTTGTGACTTTAAATGAGCATCATTATTCCACAATACTGTGAAATTTGGGAAATTATATAATCATTTAATTACAATTAAAAAAAAAGAACCTCAGGGAAGGTAGGGAGGGAGGGGATGGTAGGGGGAAAACAATGGAGGGGGTAACAATGTTCAAGAGGAAGTGTACTCATTACCTTGCTCATGTAACTGTAACCCTCTGTATAGTATCTTTACAATAAAAACATTTAAAAAAAAACTATGTTTGGGGCACTGGGGTAGCTTAAGGGATACCCATGAGAGGCCATCTGAAGTAGGAAAGAGGGATGACTCGCTAGCCATAACTCTGACCCATAGCATCATGCCTATGGAACAGAAACGCTGCTTTTGATTTTGGGTGATCCTGGCAATCTAATTGCTGACCCTCCTCAACAGGCTTCACCTGGAAAACAGACAAAGTAGCCTTACCAGATTTCCTTGGGGCAATGTAAGAAAGGGGCATGGTCCGAGGAATCCACAGGAAACAGTCCCCTGAAGGCTCTTAATAGAGGCCAGTAGGTAAGGGACTTAGCAAGAGGAAGCTGTGGATGGAAGAGGCTTCAGTGTCCCATGAAACCTGAGTCCCTGAAGATTGTCTCACAGAACTGGTAGACAGAGAAGGGACACTTGCCACTTGTTCATCAATGCGCCGGAAGTCCAGATACACAAGGTCAGGAAGGTAGGCATGGATGAACATCTTGTACTCCTCTGCCTCGGTGATGGGGTTTCCGGAGAGGCTGAGCGTTCGCAGGCACTTGAACCTCCGCAGGTAGATGAGCTGGGAGAAAAGAGAGAAGAAAGATTCATTTTCTGGCTGCCACAGAAGTAAAATCACATCTGGTATCATCTCTCCTCTCAACACTCTTCTAGAATCAACAGCCTAGCCAGGACAGACAGGAAAGGCAGTGGGGGTTTGAGATAATCAGCTTTGTAGACATTTGGTCAGGCATGATCTTTGTATAGAATCAGTCAACCAGGGTTGGCTGGTTGGACTTCGGACAAGTTATCAAACATCAGCAAGCCTTGATTTCCTTATTCTTAAAATGGGCATAAGGATATTAGATGCACTTATAGGTGTTGTAAAAAACCAGATGAAATAAGCTATGAATAGCATTCAGAAGGGTGTATGACACCTACTCAATAAATGATAGTTGTGGTATTTACTAGTAGTCACTCAGAATTGGTGTGTCTTTTAGATTACAAAACAAAAGATCTAAATGTCTTAATGTAATTTATTGTTAGCCTTTCACTAGATGGCAGGAAGTGGAAAGTTCCACTAGCTGCTGCTTATTCTATCCTCAAATATCAATAAAATAGGAGGTAAGTCAACCACTTAGCTAAAACTTCTTGCAACAGCACTATTTGAACACCTAAGCACAATGCCATGCATAAGAGGAGAGAAAGCTAGTGTGCAAGCTGGGTACTGGTGGATCACACCTACAATACTAGCTATTCAGGAGGCTAAGACTTGAGGATTGTGATTTGAAGCCAGTTGGGGCAGAAATCTATGAGAATCCATCTCTGATTACCAGCACAAAGCCAGATTGGAAGCACAGATCAAGTGGTAGAGCAGCAGCAATGAACAAGAAAGCCAAATAAGAATGAGAGGCCCTGAGTTCAAGGCTTTTCTGAGAGAACTTTCCTTCCTTCCTTCCTTCCTTCCTTCCTTCCTTTCTTTCTTTCTGTTGTTGGTCATGAGGCTTGAACTGTCCCTGAACTCTCTTTTGCTCAAGGCTAATACTCTACCATTTTGAACCATAGCACCACTTCCAGTTTTCTGGTGGTTAACTGGAGATAAATGTCTCATGGACTTTCCTGAGTGGGCTGGCTTTGAACTGTGACCCTTGGATCTCAGCCTCCTGAGTAGTTAGGATTACAGGTGTGAGCCACCAGCTTCTAGCCTAAATGAATTTTTTTTTTTGTCAGTCGTGGGGCTTGAACTCTGAGCCTGGGTACTGTCCCTCAGCTCTTCAGCGAGCGCTCTACCCCTTGAGCCACAGCGCCACTTCCGGTTTTCTAGTGCTTTATTGGAGATAAGAGTCTCATGGACTTTCCTGCTCAGGCTGGCTTTGAACTGTGATCCTCAGATCTCAGCCTCCTGAGTAGCTAGGATTACAGGCGTGAGCCACAGGCACCCGGCCTAAATGAATTTTTAAAGTCATTTATTTATTCATTTGTTCAGCAAACATGACTAAGTACCTTGTAAGCCTCAGGTAAGTAAGTGCTAAGCCTTGGAGACAGAGTAGGAACAAAGTCCATGGGTCCTTGTTGTAATAGCAAAATCTTAATTGGATCAATGGGGAAAGTATTTTTAAAAGAAATAAAATCATACAGAGAGGGAGGGAGGAAGGGTGAACAAATGCAATCATGTTATTCTGCACACACTATGTAGAAAATGACCTATGTAACTTATGGGCAGAAATGGAAGAGGGCAACAGGGGTAGGGGTGGGGTAGGGGAGGGAGTGGAAGTGAAGGAAACAATGACATTGTCCAAAAAAGGAAATGTACTCATTCGTATGAAATGGTAACTCCTCTGTGCAACTCTTTCGTAATAACAATAAAATTATATTAAAAAAAGAAATAAAATTCTTTGGGTATGATGGTGCAAGGCAGTAATTTCTATTACATAGGAGATAGGAGGATCACAAATTTGAGGCAAAGTTAGTGAGCCCCTATCTCAAAACCAAAAGGGATGGGGTATAGTTCAAGTGGTAGAGCTCTTGTGTGAGGGCCTGGGTTCATTATATATAATAATCATTATCATTTGAGTAAGTGCTATATGGAACATTAAGATGGCCTTGTGAGATAAAAGAATAGGGAAGGCTTTATCTAGAAGAGAGCTCAGAAATCTGTGTAAGTAAGGGACATCACATTCCCAGAAGTCTAAACCGTACAGGCAAAGGTCCTAAGGCAACAGAGAAGTTGGCATTTATCAGCAGCTATAGACATTTACCAGCAAAGGCAAAGCAGGCTGTAGAATGGTGGGAAGGGGAAAAGGGGTGGGGACATCATGAGAAGCACATGGGAACAGTCTGGGGCTGGTTCTTTTACACAAGACCACACAGACTATGAGCAAGTTTAGATTGTATTCTAGGGACAATGGAAGCCATTGAAACTTCAAGTATGTGTAGAGGAGCCAGGATCTGGTTTAATTTCCAAGAACTCTTCCAAATAAGGTCTCTTTTTTTTTCAATCTTTAATTGGCAAAAATTTTGATAACAAAATATGCTGAAAGGGCTGGGGCACAGATCAAGTGATCAGAGCATCTGCTTGGCAAGTTGGAAGGGTGTTAGTTCAAACATCAGTAGCACTCCATCAAAAAACAAAACAAAACAAAAAAACCCTCAAAAACATGGCTAGTGGTTCACACCTGTAATCTTAGCTACTTGGGAGGTTGAGATCTGAGGATCATGGTCTGAAGCCACCCTGGGCAGAAAAGTCCCTGTGAGACTCTTATCTCCAATTAACCACTCAAAAAACAAAAGTGGTTTTGTGGCTCAAGTTATAGAGGGCTAGCCATGAGCACAAAGAGACTCAGGGACAGTGCCCAAGTCCTGAGTTCAAGCCCCACAACCGACCAAAAAAAAATGTAGAACGGAGAGAGGAAGCTGGTTGCCCCCTCATTGCTGGCAGATCTGTAAATTGTTCCATTTCCCTAGAGGGCAATTTGGTAAAAATTTATTAACATTAAAAATGTCCTCTGACTCAGCGATTCCCTCCACATGTTTACCTTTAGGGATACATTGATTCAGGTGCAAAGCAACCCTGTTCAAGGACATCCTCTATTAATGGACATGCACTACAGACTGAAGGTAATGGTATCAGGTTGCAAACAACCTCGAGAGCCCCTTCTAGGTCACTGGAGAAATACATCTTGCCATGGCTAAGCTATGGAATGATCCAGCAGAGAGGGAAACTGCAGACTTGGTTGGACAGTGAGCACTCAAAGGTGGGTGCTTTGAGGGTAGAAGGACAGACATGACAGGCATGCACACAAAAACACAAGGTGATGACTGGAGAGACATAGTTGCAACTTACAAGACATTGAGACATCAAGGAAGGGCAAACAAAAGCCAAGGTGAGAAGAGAGGCTCTTCCCTGTGTTCCCTGAGTTCTGCTTAAATGTGTGTACTGCAACAGCAGGTACTAAAATCAGCCCAGTAAAGAAATAAACAACAATGGGCTGGGAAGGTAGCTCAGTGTTAGAGCGCTTGCCTTGTGTTCATGAGGCCCTGGGTTCGATTCCTCAGCACCACATAAGCAAAAAAAGCCGGAAGTGGTGCTGTGGCTCAAGTGGTAGAGCACTAGCCTTGAGCTGAAGAGCTGAGGGACCGCGCCCAGGCCCAGAGTTCAGGCCCCATGATGACAAATAAATAAATAACAAGAGATTGCATAATTAGATGTCAGATACCCAGAGCAGATAAGGACTAATGACTAAGATCCTGGGGGTCAGAAGCAACAACCTGAGCACCATCAGTCAGGAATCTGGTTCAAGTCACAATAAGGATTGGTGTTGTATTATTCAAGATGATCCAAGGTCCCTCCTGGAGTCTCCAGGATGCAGCTATGCTTCAGGAACATTTGGCCCAGACAGCTCAGCACTCTCTGGCAACTTCTTCCATATACCTTCTGTCCTCCTTTTCTCCTTCTGCTATACCTGTTTCTTGTCTACTCACCTGGTACCCAGCATCCCACTTAAAGGGGCAATGTTATTTCTTTCTGTCCAGGCTTTGTGGGATAGGACAGGAGACTACTCAAGGCCACACTGGAGAATAAAAGTTTCTCTTTGGAGACAGGTATCAGTGGGAGGGGGAGATGAAGATGGTCACTGATGGTCACCTCTGATGCAGCACACTGTAAGTCTTAGCCCTAGCTCACTGTGAGCTAGGATGTACTGGGATGTACGAGGACAGCCCAGCTGTCTGATGACAACCAATGCTGGATGTCACAAAGACACACTTTTGGCATCTGTGATGCCCTCCTCTCACAACAGATCTAACTTTATTGTTCCTTGAGACACTGGTTTTCTGTCACTTATGTTTACATTATGTAGATGTGGCTGGTGATTACCAAGTAAACCATGCCTTGCATCACTGTACCCACTGAGCACAGGACAAATGCCCCACATCCAGTAGTCCCTCCTCTTAATGAAGGTTTGGTATATGAGAGTGATACTAGGGGAAGGAAAGAGATTCTACCACAGTGAAGGCTCCAAACTGGTACTCAGAGGGGTTTAGTTGGAGTAAGTGTGGTATTTCAACATTATCAAATCTCTCATGGGACAATCTGGATGCCTGGAAGAGAGGGAAGACCTGGACCACAAAGGTTATACTTGTCTGACTTCATTTCAATCCCCAGCCGGAGTCCCTGTGGGCACGTGTAAGTCTGTGCAAGTCCCCCAGCCTCACCACTCACATTCATCAGGTTGCTGATCTGGTTGTTGCCCAGTGACAGCACCTGCAACTTGACCAGAGAGTCCAAGGAGTCGATCCTGGAGATGCGGTTATTGAACAAGCTCAAGTCCTCCAGGTTCACCAGGGTGTCTAGCCCCTCAATGGTCTCGATGTTGTTGAAGGACAGATCTGGAAGGGGAAGAGGGCTCTGAGGGTGTGCAGCTTGGGCAGGGAAGGGGCTGTCCTGAAATCAAACCATCAGGGCTACTTAGCATTCTATGCACTCAGCACTGGGCACAAAGGCCAGGAATTGGCTCATTGTCTAACAGGGTTTATAGAAGCCTGGTATGGATGCCTTGGCCTCCTATAGAGAGAGATGACTCCTAGCAGTTCAGATAGGCCCCAGCGACTAGAAATCTTCACTAATTGGTGCTGAGGTAGAGAAAATCTACAGGTGGGAAGATATGTGTTCCAGGGTCAAAAGGTCCAGCTGTGGCCTGCTTCTGTCACCTGCAGCATGTGACTCTTCAAGTTGGTCTGCCTTGAAGTGGCAGCATAACCCTGCCTAGAGTATGTGGGGGGGGAGGGGAAGGAGGGAGGGGTTGTGGGTGTTAGTGTAAACACAGAGAATGTCTACAAACTGAGAGGTTCACTGATGCCCCAGGTTTCCTGTTACTGGGAAGCAGCCTGGCAGGATGAAGGGGATGTGGGTTTGTGGGATGTGAGTCCACACTACTGCTTGGTTGGTAGCTTTGGGCAAGTATTTTTTATAGACCGGAAAGATGGCAGATGTTCATCTCTTAGAATTGTTATGGCGGCTAAATGAGATAAAGTGTGTAAGGAGCTCTCAGGCCCCACCTATTCTCTCTGATGGATGCTCATCTGCCCCTCACCAGACAGGAGACACTCCAAAGAGGCCAGAAGATGGATACACTTCATCATCTCCCCTTCCCCACCCTGCCTTATCAGTGAGCACCTGAGCTCTAGGAGCTGGGCTGGTATCCTGAGACCTTGGTTTGCTCTTCTCTATGTATGAAGTAAAAAGCCTTGCAGAGAAAAGGCACAAGGTCACACATCACACATAGTTAAGTGGTCTATGCATATTAGCTTCTGCTGTGGTCATTACTGGCTTGATCTGAGGCAACAGGTATCCATACACTTGTATCTAGATTAAACAGAAACCCATAGTTGCCTCTAGTGCCCCAGCAGCTTGAGAAGTTGGACAGATGGGAGCAGGATATCCTGTCCTGGATTCATGTGTCCTTTTCAGAGTAGATGCAGAGGCCAGGCCCTTACCGAGCCAGATGAGATGAATGAGGTTCTCCAGGCCCTCGATCCTCTCAATGATGTTGTTATTCAGCTGCAGCTTCTGAAGGTTCTCAAATTGCCAGAGGTTGTCTATGCGGAGGATATCTAAAACAAAGGGAGCATCCAGTCTTGGGCCAGGGTGAGGATCAGAGTTTGTGCCAGGATATTAGGGGACTGAGATATAACTGTACTCAAAAGCCTACAACTTCTCAAAAGCCCATAACTTCTATCCTATCCTAGAGTGTTTGGTTGAGCATTAAAGAGTTCAGTGTGTGTGTGTGTGTGTGTGTGTGTGTGTGTGTGTGTGTTGTATGTATGTGTGTGTGAGAGAGAGAGAGAGAGAGGGAAAGAGAGAGAGAAGAGAGAAGAGAGAGAGAAAGATCAGTACTGTCACTCAGAGCTACCATTGAGGAAGGGGCTAAGAAGAAGGTGCTAAATGGGAATGAGTTGAACCTGTCCAGGGAAGACTTGTTCATGTTGTCTTAGCAGCCTGGCCAGGGGCTCCCTGAGAGACTGGTCCACATTGGGACATAGGCCACAAGAGGAGACCAGCCTTCCATAGAGTGACAAATAGAATTAAAGCATGAGTCTCCAGTGGTGGGGGGCTCAACCAATCAGTGCTGCCTTTTAGAGGGTCTTTTGGTGACATTTGCTGAAGTATTTAATGTCTGTGTCATCAGCCTGCAATTTTCTTGGAATATATCTCCAAAAACATATCAATGAAATACCTACTGGCACGTGAGGACAGAAAAATAGGAGGGAAACCCCCAAATGTATATATACAGAACACGGAATGAATCACCCATATAACAGAGAAGTGGCTCAGATAGCATGGAAGTACAACCTGCAACCCTGAAGACCACAAACCTGAGTTGCATTCCCACCCATTCCCTGGGCTCATCAGCTCATCACAGTTTTGGTTTGTGTCACTGTCACTAGCAGCTGGAACAGTTCTGAGTCACACCTAAGTATCAATGAATTGCTATGATACAGGTCAAATTCTAGAGCTGAACTCTCTCTCTTTTTTTTTTTTTTTTGTCGGGCCTGGGAGCTGTCCCTCAGCTCTGCAGCTGAAGGCTAGTGGGCTACCAACTGAGCCACAGCGCCACTTCCAGCTTTTCTACTTATATGGTACTGAGGAATCGAACCCAGGGCCTCATGCATACAAGACTAGCACTCTACCACTGAGCCACCTTCCCAGCCCTCCCCCTTTTTATGAAGCAGTATATATAGCTGTTTATATGCCTAGTTTTTCTCTAGCTTTGCTTTGTAAGAGGTTTCCAAAACTTTCCAAATTAAAATATGGTCATTTAAAGAAATGAGATAATATAAATGTAAACAGGTATTTATTTTTGCCAGTCCCAGGGCTTGAACTCAGGGCCTGGGCACTGTCCCTTAGCTTCTTTTGCTCAAGGCTAGCACTTGAGCCACAGCGCCACTTCCAGCCCTTTCTGTTTATGTACTGAGGAACTGAATCCAGGGCTTCATGCATGCTAGGTGAGCACTCTACCACTAAACCACATTCCCAGCCCTATTTATTTTTGAAAGTTTTTTCAGGTATCATTAATAGGGATAGGGGTGTAGCTTGGTGGTAAAGAGATCACTTGCCTCGTATATAAGAGGTCCTGGTTCATTTTCTTGTACCCTCAAATAAAATTCCATTAAAAACCACACTTTGGGAGTGGCAGTTTCAATATCCATTCAGAAACATAGCCTGCTGGTGAGATAGTAAGATTTCCAGGTAGGGTATTCCTCCTAGCCTCCAATCTATGCCAGGTCTTGGAATAGGTGGGGAGGCAGGGTTCACTGCTCTTCCCTGGGAAATGAACTGTGCCCCTTGGGACAAATGGCAAAGAATCTTTGCTCCAGCTTCCTGTTTATGGCCAGATTTCCCCAGCTGATCTATGTTTCTGCTCCCATCTATATTTCTGGGATGGGGCCCAATTCTGCCCCAGGCTCCCAGCCACGTCCCTGAACTGGGTTTTCCAGGCACCTGCTCTGGTCTGATCCAGCCCTGCTTTGACCTTGGTCGTGGCTGCTTCCTGCTGAGCTACTTCAGATGAGTATCTCCTGCACAACTGAGTGCTCTACCAAGCATACTTACACCTGGCTTTCCCCCAGGCACCAGCAGTTCATGTAGAAAACCCAAAGCAGCACAATACACCAGATATGTTTGGCAGTGAGTTCCAACTGAATTTACAGCATGGAGAACAGAAGAAAGATGAAAGAAGAAAGAAGGAGAAGAAGCAGAAGAGGAAGAAGAGGAAGAAGAGGAAGAGGAGGAGGAGGAGGAGACCATCACCTTGGCCTGGCCATTGTCACTGCTCCCTAGACCACAGAATCATTAGATTCCTGCTTCAGTCCTGGCCCTGTATCTAGTAAGGTCCTGTAAGAACTCAAGTCCCACCCATCTGGCTTCTGCTAGGACCCTCTGGGCTTCCACTTCACTCACTATAAAAGCCAAACACCTTCTTTTGTCCAAGCTGGACACCAGCTGGTCACATGACCTCTCTGAACTGTCTACTCCAGGCCTTTGTCCTGGAGCTTCCCTCTGCCCCACATATTTTCCCAACTGATCTCCACAGGGCTTCTACCTCACTTCCTTCAAGTCTTTGTTCAATTGTCAGAATCTTGGCAAGGCCTCTGGCCACTCTAGAAAACATTGCACCTCATTCCAATTTCCCTTTCTCCTTCATTTTCCCCTAGCATATATTACTTTCAACATACAGTCTATTTTCCATCTTTCTCTCCCTCATGTGAATAGCCACTCCATGAAAATAGTTCTTTGTCATTTGGACTCACATTGAATCTTAATTCTTAGAACAGTGCCAGGCATATAATAGGTACTTGTTCGACTTGGCCAGATGATCATTAAGTGTAGAGATGAGAAGCTGAAGGAAAGTGGTCATGTCTTCAAGCCCTAGCCCTGTGGAAGTCAATCTTCATCCTTTCTTCCTCTCAGGGCAAAGGGACTGTGGATCTGCTCTAGGGTCAACCCTAGAGACTTCACACCTGTGGATTACATGAGGCTACAGGCTTGTCTTGCTCATGGTTGTATCTCGAGGGTCTGGCATAGGGATGAGCTGTGGTAAGTCTCAGTAGCTTCTTGTTGTTATGGTGCTCAATCCTGTAATCCTAGCTATGTGAGAGGCAGAGATTTGGGGACCATAGTTGAAAGCCAACCTGGGCATAAAAGTTGTGAGACTTCTTCTCAATGAGTGACAGAACACAATGGAAACAGTGCACCTGTTATCCCAGCTACAGGGGAAGCGCAATAGTTGGACACAGTGGTGTGAACTTGTCATCCCCAGTGACATAGGGAAACCAAATAGGAGGACCATGGCCCAGGCCAGCCCAAGCAAAAAGCAAGCCCTATCTTGAAAATAACCAAGGCAATGCCTGGCACAAGTGACTCATGTTTGTAATCCTAGCTACTCAGGAAGCTGAGATCTGAGGATTGTAGTTCAAAGCCAGCCTGGGCAGACAAATCCAACTGTTACTTTCAATTAACCAGCAAAAAGTCAGAAGTGGAGAAATGGCTCAAGAGGTGGAATGCTAGCTTTGAGGAAAAAAGGCTAAACATGAGAGAGAGAGGGAGAGGTACGGGGAGAGGGGCCTGGAATTCAAGCTCCAGTACCAGCACAAGAAAGAAAGAAAGAAAAAAAGGAAGGAAAGAAAGGAAGAGGAAGGAAGGAAGGAAGGAAGGAAAGAAAGAAACCAAGGCAAAATGGGCTAGAGACATGATTAACATTACAGAGTTCCTGCTTAAAATCCAGAGTACCTTAGTACCAATGTAAAATGTGTGATCCTAGACCACAGACTCTTTGTGGAATTTTAGAGCTTGAAGGTAGAGCAGTAAAGTGAGGAGGCCCTACTATGTGCAACCACCCCACCCAAGGCCACCCTTTTACCCATACCTCACCACCAACCCACCCCAACACTCAGGATACTCACTCTGGAAGTCCAGTTGTAGGGACAGAACATCTTTGAAGAGGATGCCCTCCTGCTTGGCTAGCTGTCCAGCCTCTTCCTGGGGGCCCTGCTCCATGACAGCCAACTTGAGCATGTCATCATCTATCACCTTTGGCTCCATCAAGTCGTACATTCGGCTCATCTTTCCTAAAAAAACTACATTCTTTTCACAGTCTGTCTCTTCCTCAGTTTGAGGATAGAGTCTGGGTTAGGCATCCTTTTTTTTTTTTTATCAGTTGTGTGGCCTGTACTCTTGAGCTCTTCAGCTCAAGGCCAGTGGGCTACCAACTGAGCCACAATGCCACTTCCAGATTTTTCAGCTTATGTGGTGCTGAGGAATCGAACCCAGGGCCTCATGTATGCAAGGCAAGCACTCTACCACTGAGCCACCTTCCCAGCCTCTAGACCTCCTCTTAAAGGGTCATGGAATGCATGGCAACTGTGAGGGCTATCCACTCTTGTGCCTCAGCCTGTACCAAGGCTACTCCAGGGCTTGCTAGAAACCAGATGGGAAATGTTTAGTTACAAACCAAGACAAGTTTGCAGGTGTAAAATTATGGAAGCATACTTTAGGGTATCTGACCTTGGCCAGGGAAGACAAAGATTTGAAGAATGAGTAGGAAAGATTGAAGAGGGAATAGTTGAGTGAGGGGCCTGACATAGGAGTATACAGGTATGTTCCATTTGTACTAAAATAATACAAAGGTGGGCAGGCCTGCAGCCGTCACATTTGCCCTGGGAAGCATGTAGGACTTCATAAAGCAGTGACAAAATCATAATATTTTTGTGTATGCTGGTCCTAGTGTTAACAAATCCAACTGAAAGTTCCTGCTTCATTTAAAGCCTGAACACTGTCCCTGAGCTTTTTTGCTCAAGGCTAGTGCTCTACCATTTGAGCCACAGTTCCACTTCCAGCACTTTGGTGGTTAGTTGGAGATAAGAGTCTTATGGACTTTACTACCCAGGCTGGCTTTGAACCAGATCCTCAGATCTCTCAGACTCTGGAGTAGCTAGGATTATAGATGTGAGCCACAGGTACCCCACTCCAAATTTTAATTTTAAGAAGCTCATTCTAGCTGTTGTACTGAGAGTTGCAAGAGTACTAGTAGAGTGGCCAGAAATGACCAGGTTGGTGGAGTTTGAGACATCTCTAGAAACTTAATTTATATAAGGGATTCAGATAAGAAGATAGAAGCCAGTTAGAAAAGTTAATTAACATGTTAAAGACAAGTGTCAGATTCATCTTTTGTCCAGCAAAAGTATGTCTGCTGACAAATGTATGGATAAAACAAAACACACCACTTCTCATATATGGAAGAATCTATTTTCCTAATCATTATTCCACTGAACCTAGTGTACTAGGAACAACCATTGTTACAATTTATATTTCTTATACCTGTCTGGGCCCAGGAAAAGGCCTAAAGAGTATTTATATAATCGCTATGGGGATTATATCAGTAATTTTACCACCCACTTGGGATCCTGGTTGACTTGCCTGATGATAGTTGATGGCGAAGACAAGAAGCAGAGTTTTACACACTCAACAATGAGATGACCTCTTCTCTGAGAAACAGATTGAGATTTTCCTGAGAGACAATAATCTGGGTCAATTAGATTTGAAAAATACAGACCCTAGTGGCCATAAATTAAGAAGAAAGGTAACCATAGACTGACTGCTCATAGTGCCTTTGGTGCACATGAATTATTTAATTACATTGTCAGTTCTGGAGCCATTAAAGAAGGGGATGCTAACATTCTTATTTTCCTGAGGGAGCTGAGGCCTTGGGGAAGGGAAGGAACTTGTTCAAAATCATATAATGAAATACAGCTATGCATGTGATCTTCAGTATCTGAATTCCCAGCCCAATGAAATAATTTAATAAATTAATTTCTCTGTGTGTCTCTGTCTCTCCCTCCCTTCCCCAACACACACACACCGCTTTGCTGATTAAAAAAAAAAAAAAAAAAGAGTTGCTGGGCGCCAGTGGCTCCCGCTTGTAATCCTAGCTATTCAGGAGGCTGAGATCTATGGATCACAGTTCAAAGCCAGCCTGGGCAGGAAAGTCCGTGAGATTATTATCTCCAATAAACCACTCATAACAAAACAAAACAAAACCGGAAGTGGTGCTGTGGCTCAAATGGTAGAGTGCTTGCATTGAGCTGAAGAGTTGAGGGACATCGCCCAGGCCCAGAGCTCAAGCCCCACAACCGCTCAAAAGAACAAAAATAGAGTTAGGAGGTCAGGTAGGATAGCTAAATTCTGAAAGGAGTTAACAGGGTACGGAGTACGTCTCTTTCTATAAATGGATCAGGCCAGGAAGCTGGGGGATGGAACGCCTTTAAAATTCATTTAGCTCTTGCTCACTGTAGAAATGCTCTCATCATTTCTCAGCACCACGAAAAGTGACTGGCACAGGATATGTGCACTCACTTTACAGATGAGAAGAGTTGGGCCAGAATCCTCAAGGTCTCAGGAAAGAGCTAAGTCGGGAGTTCTGAGCCACTGAATCCACCCAAGGCCTCAATTCTCCAGTCTCACCTCCTCAAACTACTTGGCTGCTTCCAAGAGGCTGACGCGTAGCCCGGTTGCTGGGGAACCAAGCGCCGCAACTTGGTTGTTAAGGGGAAGTCAGTCCGTAGACATCCTGGGTGAAAGTTGAAAGGTCACGTGACCACATCTCTGAGTGGAGAAATGTTCCTAACACCAACCAGCCACAGAGAAAACAAACGTTTCTCCAATCAGAACCTTCAATGCTCAGACAACTTCCTTAGACCCACCTCTTCTGTGCCCGCCTATTTGTGATTGACTTGTCTTTTATCCAATCGTACCAAGGTTTATCTAGATTGACCAATATAAAATGAATCAAAACCCCCAGCCCTTTGTTCGGAGGCGGACCATGGGGAGGGAGGTGCCGCTATGGCTGACGGGGATTCCAGTGACCAATCTCGCTTCTCGCCCAATCGGACGCCGCCAAGTGGGTGGGACTTCGCTGAGTGCTGTGTGAAAGCCAATCGGAGAAAGTCTTTGTAGGTCTTGTCCAATAGAGATACGGATGGTGGGCGGGACCAGAAACCTGGCGCTTGGCGTTCCAGAGGGTGGGGCGGGGGCAAGTGTCAGTCAGGTCGGGAGTGCGGCGGCGGACATCCGAGACCGCGGCGGCAGACAGGGTACGCCGGCCGGCCGCTGTGTGTTGTCCGCCCAAGATGGAGTTCCTCCTGGGGAACCCGTTCAGCACCCCTGTGGGACAGTGTCTCGGTAAGGCCGCGCGTGGGGCAAGCGGTTGGGTGGGTGACGGCGGCGGCTGACAAGACTAGCGACCGTGGGCCTCCGCTCAGCGCCGGTGCCACCTCACAGGTGGACCAGGCATCCTCGTCGTTGAGTCTCTGCTCGGCGCCGGCGCTACCTCACGTGTGGGTTGGGCCTCTGCCAGTCACTGGTGCCACTTTCCAGTTGGACCGGGTATCTTTGTCGTGGCGCCGATGTCACCTCACAGGCACCAGTGCCAAGCTGCCAGGAGGTGCTCCTGAGGTCCAGCTTGGACTCGAAATGTTCCCCACCTCCCGAATCAGCGCCTAGCCCTCCCTGCCCCTCCATAGAGATGATGCCAACTGCGAGTCTGCTTTACATTCCTCTTCTGTTGGGAGATACCACTGTGCACCCTTGTCCAGCCAGCTAGTCTCACTGCCACCGTCCCCAAGGCCTAGTTTCTCAGACTCCTGGTGGGATGTCACTTCCCCTTCCATCCTTGCCCCTCTTCTGTATCAGCAGCTCTCAGACTGGACACCCTCCCACAAAATGCCCCCTGCTCCACGTCTTGCTAATTTAAGCTGTAAATCAGCGAGACTGTAGGAAGGCCTAAGATGGGGGAGGGGTTCCTGGAGGGTAATTATCTTGACAGTGGAGTGGCCTGCCTGCACTGCCTCCTAGTAAAGAAGGGAGTTGGTGTTGTATAATGATAAGAGCACTGAACTGGGAATCAGGAAACTTGGACTCCAGAAGTGACTTTGCTAGGGACTCACCCCATGACCTTGTGTCTTTTCTAGTTTGAAGTTCTCCTGTCTGTCAAATGAGATGTGATAGGTCCCTTCACGTTCCAAGGTTTTGATATTCCCTGATAGTCTTTGCACATTGACTGTTTTCTTATTACATTTAAAATTTGTAAGGCTAGCATCTTTTGCTGGTAGTATAGAAAAAGCAGTATTCTGAAGTACCTGTCAATCTTATGAGTATAGGAGGACTCTGTGGGCTCGCAGAAAAGGGCACCATCGGGGCTGGGAAGGTGGCTTAGCTGTAGAGTGCTTGCCTCGCATGCATGAGGCCCTGGGTTCGATTCCTTAGCACCACATAAACAGTAAAAAAGTCGGAAGTGGTACTATGCCTCAAGTGGTAGCATGCTAACCTTGAGTTGAAGAGCTCAGAGACAGTACCCAGGCCTAGAGTTCAAGCACCATGACTGACTGAAAAAAAGAAAGAAAGGGCACCACTGGATAAGGTGAACTCAGAGTATGTATGGAGAAACACCATGTGACCACTGTATGGGATTTCCCTACTAAAACAGTTTGCAGACCGGGAACATAGCTCAGTGGTAGAATGTGTGCTTAGCACATATGAAATCCTGAGTTTGATCCTCAGCATTACAAAATAACAATAACAACAACAACAATAACAACAACAACTTAAAATGTAACTTGATTTTTCACCTGAGGCTGGAGCTTATGCCAAGTGATCAGTCAAGAATGCTGATAGTTTCTTTAAAAATGAGGTTCCCCCTAGTTGGTTGAAGGACTGGTGGAACATCTTTTATAAAGGAGGCCTTTGGTGTCCTTATGGGCTTGACTGGTTTAGGCAGTCATGATTCGTTTCCTACTTGGCCTGTGAATTTCCAGCTGACTTGCCAGTCTTTGGTAGGGCCTGTGAAGTTTTTGATGCCTCTCCTGTTAATTAATTGGCACTTAGGAGTCTGTCTTTTCTTTTTGGTACTATGTCTTTTATAAGAGATTCTGAACACTAGGCTCTGAAAGAGTTTTTCCTACCTTTAGGATACTTTGTCCCTCCTGCCCACTGAGATACCTGTTTGGATTCCCATCCTCCTTTCTCTCTCATTTCTTTTCCTACTTTCCTTTCTTCAGGTGTTCTTTCTGTATTCTTTGGCTGTGTTCTTAAAACTCGCTTCTCAGGTGGGTGTTGAAATACATCCAGTTAACTGAGGTCACTAATAAACTTGAGAAGATTCTTTTTCTTTTATGCCCCTTTATTTTAGGAAGCTATATACCTTTAAAATGCCAGGGAGAGTATAAAGGGTAGATTGTAGATTAAGCATAGAAGTTAAAGGGGATTTTAAAATACAAATAAGGTGTAGATACATACTGAGTGAGATGAGCAATCATTTTTCTGATTCTTAAGAAGACCCGAGTTGGGCTGGGAAGGTGGCTCAGTGGTAGAGCACTTGCCTTGCATGCATGAGGCCTTGGGTTCGATTCCTCAGCACCACATAAGCAAAAAGATAAAAAGCCGGAAGTGGCGCTGTGGCTCAAGTGGTAGAGCGCTAGCCTTGAGCTGAAGA